TCCGTACTAGTTTTGAGGACCACATAAAGATCCCACCAAGCCAGATACGTGACCCCAATCGCCAGTAGGATCTTTACGGGGGAATGTCCTGATGTGCCGAACTTGTCCCTAGGAAGAGCGCGAGAGAGAGAGGGAGAGAGGGAGGGAGGGAGAGAGAGCTATTTCTTGTGTCAGACGTGTTTTAGGGACCTGAAGGCAATATCAAAGTAACAGATGTTCTTTTGTGGGCTTTGGGACTTGGCAGCAAAATCCCAACAGCAGACGTTCCTTTTAGAAGTCTGGGCACAAAGCTAAAGCAGCAAACAGCGCTTGGGCGTGACGTTGTTTTGGGGTTCTGGTGTCGTTGGAGCGTCCGGCAGCAAAATCAAAGTAGCATACGCTCTCTTGGGGGTCTTCGGACCCCGGCAACAAAATCCAAACAGCAGAGGTTCATTTTCGGAGTCTGGCCACCGCTTCTCACCAGCAAACAGTGCTTGAGGGGCCTGAAAGCAAAATCAAAGTAGCATCCGTTCTTTTGGGGGCCTTCGGACTCTGGCCACAAAATCCAAACAGCAGACGTTCTTTCTGGGAGTCTGGCCACAGTTTCTCACCAGCAGACAGTGCTTGAGGGGCCTGAAAACAAAATCAAAGTAGCATGCGCTCTCTTGGGGGTCTTCGGACCCCGGCAACAAAATCCAAACAGCAGACGTTCTTTTCGGGAGTCCGGCCGCAGATTCTAAGCAGCAGACAGTGCTTGAGGGCCTGAAAACAAAATCAAAGTAGCATACGCTCTTTTCGGGGTCTTCGGACCCCGGCAACAAAATCCAAACAGCAGACGTTCGTTTTCGGAGTCTGGCCACAGTTTCTAACCAGCAAACAGTGCTTGAGGGGCCTGAAAGCAAAATCAATCATTTAGCAAATTCGGACTCTGGCCACAAAATCCCAACAGCAGACGTTCGTTTTCGGAGTCTGGCCCCAGTTTCTAACCAGCAGACAGTGTTTGAGGGCTTAACAGCAAAATCCAAGTAGCATACGCTCTTCTGGGGGCCTTGGAGCTCTCGCAACAAAACCCAGACAGCAGACGTTCATTTTTGGAATTCTGGCGACAGACAAAGTAGCAGACGCTGTTTTGGGGGCTTTCGGACTTTGGCCACAAAGCAGCAGACAGTGCTTGAGGACCTAACAGCAAAGTCAAAATAGCAGACGTTCTTTGGGAGCCTGGGCGCTGGCATCATATCCACGCTTTGTTGAGAGTGAGTGAATGACTCAGATAGCAGAAAGTCTGGAAGCCGTAAACTAGCAGCTTCAGTTTCCGTCTCTCGCAGCCTTTCTCAGGTCGTTAGACGAAGACAGCGGTCAGCTCAGAGACCAGAGAAAAGCGGACGTGCATGCGGCAGCATGCTTGGGTCAGGTATGTTTTTTTCGAGCAATCTTGACGGAAGCTATGTTCAAAGCTCCAGTGCTCGCAGCCACGTGCTGAAAGCGCAACATCTTCCAACCCCCAACCTCTAATTCCATCAACCCTAAACTCTTTGGCTCAATGTGAGTTTCACCATCAGGCCTCTTTTTTGTTGTTCCGAATCACAGCAGGCAAGTCCAGCAAGAGGGTTTGTCGACTTGTCGCTACGTGCAAATGGAAAGTGTGCTTTGCACACCTGCTAGCTCCCGACGCACTTCCGTCTCACCTTTCCATGGTTGGTGCATGTACAGGTTTAGTGTGGATCGACTATTGATACTCCACACCCGTCGGGAAATGCTTCGAAGGCTTTGCCCGCTTGCTGTGCCAAAGCTATAATCGTAACGTTGAGAATTGGCTGCTCAATGAGTGTAGCTGGAACGGGCCGTCTTCGATGTGACTAAGGTGCTGAGCTTTGCAGAAGCCTCGTTTCATTGAACAGCGCATTGCCGACGTTATGCTTTGCCTTGTTCAACAGTTCAGAGTAACACTCTGCAGCTTGAATCTGGGCTCCAGAAGCTGGTGCACGGAAGCATGCCTTAAATGCCTTAAATGTAGGGGAGCCGAGAGGGCCTCTCCTGTAAGTCTTCCTGGTTTGCTGAGACTCTGGTAAAAGTCAAAGTTTTGCTGTGTCCTTGGTTTCTGTTGACAGAAAGCTCGAACAAGATCTATAGAAGCTCTCAGAAAAAGCTGAGTCTTTGATTGGAAACAAGAATAGACGACATGAGTCACCTCAAGAAGAGCGATCCTCAAGACCTCCACCGCCCTTGTCAGCTTCAACTGGTTCTACAAATCTGAATGCCCCTTGATCAAGGTGTTTGTGGTATGTTCAGCACTGTCAAGTCTTTAAGTGCTTGAGGTTTTGTTGTAGCTCATAAATTCCTTTTTCCAATGCCTGCAGCATGTGTTTACCGTTTCTGCGTTTTCGTCTGCCACTCAGCATACCGTATCTCAGACCGCTGCACGGTCACTACACGGAACGTTTTGGGAAATTAGAGCTTTCCGCACCAATGCATGGATCTCCACGCAGGCGACGTGAGTGCAGGTGCAACTGCGCGCTTAAAAAATAATGACTTGCAAGCCAACAGTGTGCAGAAGCACGCGTTCAAGCGGCGCAGTGCTAAGTTTCAGATTTGAAAAACAGGATTGAAACTTGGAGAGTTTATGTTCCAGCAGAGCCAAAACTGCTTTGTCTGTTGATCATTTCACAAAACCGGCCTGCATTTTTGTGGCACCTTTTGGATTTCTTGTTTTTCTAAAGTTCTTTTGTTTTATTTCACCTGTTTTTCGTTTCTTGCATTGCATTTTATCTCTTTTGGTTTTTCCAATTTTTCTTTGTTTTTCTTATCTGCGTTTGTTTCTCTGCCAGTGTCTCTCTGGTAGAGGTCAGGAAAACAAGCACTAGAGGTCCAGAAAAATCTCAAGTTTCGAAAAGAAAGAAATCGAAGTTCGCTTCAAGATGTTTTGAAAGGCAAGAACAAGACTGAAACTTCTCATAAAGATTGAAAAAAAGCCTTTTTTTGGGCCTCTCTGCGGAGCTGCAAAAAGCCACAACTTTTCCAGCTGCAGGCAGACGCTGATTCTCTTGGTTGGTTTGCTGTGACAGTCACTGCAACAGAACCAGCAGATGATGATAGCAACCGAATAAAAAACCACGCCGCCCGATGTTCTCTTATCCTTCTAATGTTTGATTCAATTGAAAAAAACATTATATTTGCGCTTACACTGCTTGCATCTCTCATTCATTTTACCATCCGCCAAACGATTCTGCTTCAACCAATGTGTTTCACTTTCTGTGATCCATGCTTCTGCAGGGAAGTGGGCTTGGATGTAGCCAACATGCTCGCAAGAACCCTGTCACGACATCCGCCTGAGACTGCTGTGGTCTGCACAAGCTTAAAGGTGCAGATGCAAACAACGCAAAATTTGTACAAATAATTCGTTTCGCTTTGTTTTGTTTTTGCAACCCGGTGCCACGTGCATTGGCCTGTTACTGGGGTGGTCGCACCAATAGCAAATCCTCTACTCATCTTCTGCAACCACCAGGCTTGTCCTGACATGAAGCAATAAACACCAAGCTAGGTGTAGGGAATGCCCCGGCCAACTGCAAGAGCAAAGCAGGAACAGAATCCAACCACCAATGGACATGTATAGCAATCGTCTCACATTGGTTTGTTTGGATCCCAATGTTGGCTGTAAACCCACTCGTCATGTTTGGAGCTCTGATTCCGACAAGCCACGTTTCGTTTCGATGATTTGTTTCGATTTTCGTTTTCTCCTGCAACATTCGACTTTCTATTTGCTGAGAAGCAGGCAAAGAGAGAGTGTCCCTGTCTAAGTTCGAAGATGAAATTCTGGGTGGCTTTTCCGCTGTAAGAAGACACAGCAGAACTTTGGAAGGGCAAGTTAATTTCGTGGTGATCATGAAGTAATCAGCCGGAATGAGGAAGCTCAGCTGACTAAGCTTACAAATCGAAGTAAGTAAGCACATGGGCTTGCAAAAGGCTCGACTGGTCTTGTCACCATGGTAACATTCCTGTCTTGTTGTCATTAGAAATATTCTGCTAAAGCTCTAATGCAGCTTGCATTTGTAATTTGAGATTGCGATGTTGTGTCACCCACTTCGAATTAGCATCCACACATTCTTGCATGGCTCAAGTTGTTACATGTCATGGGCCATGGCTTGGTAGTTAGCTTTGGTGATTGTTTGGATTTCGAGCAAACAAGTTCGGTTGCATGCAACCCAACAGCCACAAACTTGTACATACGTTTTTGCCAACGACATGTTCAGTTCCGCTGATAACATCGTAGGTTGCAGATGCTTCGTTAGACTGATGGAATGGAGGCCTCCTTCATGTTTTATCATGGGGGCTCTGTACGATTTGACCAGTCCCTGATTCTGCGTGACGAATGGGAATCCTTGCGAGGAGCTGACGGAGAAGGTGGAATTGATTTTAGAGCAGGTGGCAGCGCAGACTCTGCCTGCCGCCATCGACCCAGCGTGTTGTCGGCATGGGTTCGCTCGCAAATGCGTGTGCAATCTTCGTTTGACAAGGCCAAGGGTTCGCGATACACAGATGGCAAGTCGGTCCTGGCCAAATTCAGAGATGGCCGGGAACTGCAGGCGTTGCGCGACTGTCTGGCATGCACTGGGAATCTGTCATGTGTGTGCAACAGCCGGCCAATGAATTCCTTGTGCTCGTGGCATGGAAGGTCGACCTCACGGCCGACATGCTTTTGGGTGTTAGTCTGGTGCCCAAGAGTGTTGCGGTGTGACGAACCTACGGTCAAGGTGCACAGGTCTGCGATCGGGTGTGATGCTGTGTTTCTATTTGTTCTACGAAGGCGAGGACGACAAGGACAAGTTGGCAGAGCAGCTGCGAACCCAAGGCAACCAAGCCATTGGAATAAGGTTTTTCTTGCTGTGCAATTGCGGTCTGACTCGTTCTGTCGTTTATTTTGTCAGGCTTCGATGTGGAAGCAGTGGAAGTTCCGAGGCTCTTTCCTAGACGTTGCATGCATGGTGGAAAGGGGCAAGGTGGGCGCTTTGAACCAAGGCCTCCACAAGCTAGCCACGCGCTGCAGTGGAGCGATGCGATCTCCCAGGCAATGGTGGCCAGACAGGGCAGCTAGTTCAGCATCGAAGCAAACAGTCTGTGCTATGGGCTCGGCGATTTCCCTAGCTTCACCTGAGAGGCGTTTGGCCGGGCTTGGCTATCTCGAGTTGATGTGACGGACTTCTGCGAGATGGCACCAGACACAGTACACATGTCGTAGTATCAAGCGATGAAAAGTTCCAAGCTTGTCGCGTGATCCGACCCTAGTTGCAACCGGCACTCGATGCCACAACACTTGGGGTTAAGGTTTGCAAATGCGGTGAGCGTTTGCTGAACCTCCGGCGCTACAAGCTCGCATATCAGGAGGCAGATGCTGCTATCCTGGATGCTGGTATCAGGAAGCTTTCAGCCACCCTAGGTAAGCGACAGGTTTCCAGCTTAAGATGTGCCATTTTTTGACCGGTTTTGGCACATCACTTGTCGAAGCCTCTCCAGAACATTTCAGGGCATGCAGGATGCAAGTTTCGAGGGAATTCGCAGGTTGTGCGATTGAATCCTTATCACATGCCTTATCAAGTCTGATACCTCGCAGACTTTTCAGGTCTTCTACCGTTACTGTGATCGTGCTGTACAGCTTCGGGCAGAAATTGGCCGGCCAGCGCTCTCAGCCGGTGTTGTTGCGGCGGCCATTGTTCGAGTGCCAAGAGACGTGGACCTAGGAACCTGCTGGGCGAACCTCCGTCAAGAAAGATTTCGGCTCCCGCCTCGGCCTGTGTGATGTTAGGATGGGCAAAGTTCTTGGGACTTTTTCTTGATGCCAGGTCTTCTCACGCTACTGCTTGGGAGCTTCGACTGCTCTCTTTCTGCAGACGGTTCACCGAGATGATGGGAGAAGGCTCGGAGCCATGAAGTTCAGTTCCGAGGGAGGTCGGTACCCATTCGTTATTTTGCGAGGCCGGACACGGTCTGCAGCTCGGCACTTTCTGCTTGCATTTCACAGTTGAGTTGAGAACAGTAAGAGAGCCAAATGTTGCACCCTTCAAATCATTCCAGCTGAAAAGTATCCTGGAGGTGGACATCTTGAAAGACGTCCTGCGAGACATTCTGCAATCTGTCCAAATCCTGTGCGCTCAGACAGAGGTGCTTCGTCGATAATCTTCACGAAGCCATGTGTGGACTTTACGGGATGGGCCGACGGTGAGGCGGTGCGCGAGGAGCTTTACTGGTGCTTGTACAACAGCAGCCTCTTGACTATGCGTGGAGTGCTCGGATAGTGTTTTATCTTGCTTGTGCACACATGCTTCCAGCATCAGCCTCGGCAACATCTTACAGTGCCTTGGACCTTGGTCTCTGTTGTGTACAGGCATTGCGAGATGGCTCAGACTTCACGGGTTCGCTGATCTATGCATTCAACCGCTTTGGTTGCTGGGAACTTAGCTCCGATGCCCTTGATCACTTCACTGCTCCACTCCACTACATCACCGGCTCAGGATGGTAGAGTCCATGCACTCTTGCTTGCCGCTAATGGCGGTGTACATGATTCCCTTCCGAGCACGGGTGATGATGGAGCGAGTTGCTTGAGCGTTCTCTCTGTAGCTCTTTCTGTCTTGCTTTGGAGAAGTATAATCCCCCTGCGCCCTTGCCTCACAGGAGCTGGCGTACTGCGCCGAGTCTGCCAAGCAGCTCGGGGAGGCGGCGCGCCCCGAGCCAAGAGGACCCATATGTTGGTATTCTGAGAACTTGAGAAAACTGGCTGCACTTGGTTTTTTCTCCTTCCGAGGTGTGTGTGAAGTGGCCCAGGAGCAGATAGAGAAAGCGCAGAAGCTTGAGACCATGCTGCCCGGGACCCATGAGTTGACGTTCCTTCGGCTTTCCGGTGGAGCCAGGTTCACAGTGGATTCATGCGCGGGTCTCCTGAGCTTTCCAAGGCCGCCAGTTCCAGCAGAGACGACGAAGGTCTTCGAGGTCTGGATACCTTGCGCATATGATGACAAGTCGGGCATTTCAGCTCTTGATCTGAAGACCCGGTTTGTTTGCTGGATTCTGGATATCCCGCTGGTTATGTGGCTCGTTCTGCGGAGTAAAACAGTCATGGCCCCACCACCCCCGCAAGCCCACACCGCATTCGGACATCTTCCGCACACATTGCAAGTCCTGAAACTGAAAGGAAAGCAGATGCCAAATGGCCTAACGCAGCTTCGTAGTCGTAAAGAACGAACGCCATGCACATCTCGCTGCTGATAGCACTATCAGAATGATGCGATGATTGCGGTGTGGCTCTCTGCGAAATTCAATCTGTGGCAAGAGCTGAACTGCACGTCTGTCGCTCCCAGGCAGTGAACTTCGAGGCTTCCGGGGCTTCTCCGATGCCACCGACAGAAGCGGCGACGGAAGCAAAGTCGAAGCAAGCGGACCATGCAGTCGTTATCGATGTGGGTCACGGCTTCTTGGCATGGCATGGTCAAGCCTCCCGTGTGTCCATGTGGAGCATCCGTAGTTGAGGCATACACATCGCCATGGATTCGCTTGCTGAACGGAAGCTTGGATGTGTGTTGCATGTTGGCAGACTCTGTGCAGTTTTGGAGCTGGCTTCTGAGGATTAGATCCATCTTCGATCGCTTTGACAAGGACAGCGTTCGTGAATGTCTTGTTGAATTCAAGGGGGTGGTTTCAGCTTGTTAGGGATTTCGCTTTAAGTCCTGTGGTGCAAGCACTTTTCAAGGTGGCCTTCGCTGTAGGGAATGTCCAGCACGGACTGACTGGTCTCAGCTTGTTTGGTGCTGAGGATTGCGGGGGAACGCTCGACAGGCCCGAAAGACCAACCAAGTCCTCATTGGAGATACATGCGACTGAGGTACGAACTCCACCGGGTCTTCAAAGTTCTCGTGCCGAGCTTTACACCTTTGTGGGAAGCTCAGGGGGCCAGTGGGTCTGAGTCCGGCATGCTTTCGGCACCTGTAGCCTGAGGCAGATCAACGCCAGCTTCAAGCACCTTGATAAAGGCCTAGAGCGGCATAGCGCTGTGGTGCAGGGCAACTTTGCGTGGGCCATGTGGATTATTCCTGGACTTTTGAGCTTGGCTGCGCAGGTGGAGATGGTGTGATCTCTCGCGAAGAGAGTCTCGGCTTCGTAATCCAGTTGTAGTTGTCGCAAGGCAAGTCAAGGACTGGTGGGACAGGTAGCCACCAGGACATTTAAGAGATAATATAGGCATAACACAACATACTACGTATCATCGACCTGCAATACCGTCACAGTACTACAGTATACTACAATATTAATTGACACACGCTATGCTACGCTATACTCTACGATGAGCTGCCAGCAAGGTTTTGCCAGTGGATCTTGACGGACACAGGCGAGGCAAAGAAGGCGACTCGGCCGTAGTTTGGGCGCTCCGCTTTATTCCAGTTTCGAGGAAGAAGTCGACTGCTACCGCTCCTAGGTCATGAGAGCTATGGTCAAGGCAACCAGTGATGCCATCGCCCCAGAACTCAGACTCAGGACTTTGGGTTCACGGTGAGTCCTGTTTGCAGGCTCTCTCTCTCTCTCTCTCTCTCTCTCGCTCGCTCTCTCGCTCTCTGTCTTTTTCGCCGATAACATCCTAATTGAGGGTCAGGGCAGCCAAAGCATCGAATGAATTTCCTGGATGCAGGCCCTCGCCACAAGCGTGAGAGAAGTACTTCGCCTGCAGTCAGGTCACGATTTAAAGCAGGGTCTTCTGAAAGTAACACTCACTGACGTCACAGCAATTGACTTTGGCTTTTGCATTGGCTTGATTCAGAATCGGATGTGCGACTGCAGCCTCAGGTATTCGCTCGGTTCGACCAGGATGGTGACGGAAAGCTCGACCGGAGTGAGCTTTGGAGGCACATAGGGCCTCAGAACAACAGCCCCAGTGCTCAGCATTCGCATTTCAGAACAGACCAGAATGACCGTGTGCTAGGTCAGTGTGAAGCACGATGGTGTACGAGAGTAGACTTGTGTGCCGCTAGGGTCTTCAAGACCCTCGATGGGGAGCTTCGTATTCCGGAGATAGCCTCCTTGAGTGCTGAGCTAAGCCTTCTCTCCAGCAGGGACATCTCGTAAGACCAACTGCCGACATTCGTTTGGTGCTGGCTGCACATGGTTCAGCGGTTTGCAAGCGTGTGAGTTTTCATGAACCGGTTGAACAAGGTCAGGAGCTTGATACTGGTGGAGATGGAATGGCAACTTGGATCCAAGATCAAGTGAGCAGTTCCTACCATGGGTATCATTGGTTTGATGCTGTGTCACTTGCAGAGTTGTGTGGCCAGGTCTCCCACAAGGAATTCCTTTCCTGGCTTCGGCAGGGTTCAGATCGAGCTCAGGCGCTTACGAAAACGACTCTTTGAAGCAGAGGTCATGACCGGCTTCGTCTTCGCAGCTGCTTGAGCTTCAGTACATGATCGATGGCTCAAGTATCTTGTGCATATCACACTCCATTTCCATGTTGCTGTAGTTCGTTGCTTGGCCTCCATGTCCGAGCTGAACAAGTCACTCCTGGAGGCTGCATCCATGCTAAACTTGGAAGCAATCCAAAAGCTCCTGGCATCTGGAGCCGATGCGACACACATAGATGATCCGGATGGCGTGTGGGGTTCCAAATCGAAAAAAGGTCCCCTCCATTTGGCTTTGCGGGCACGCCCTTTCAAGTCAGACGAGGTGGCGTCATCATACCAGCAACAGCTGAATCATTGGAAGGCTGTTGTACGGACGCTGATTGATGCAAAGGCTGATGTCAACGTTCAGAGTGAGGAGTATGATTGGCGAGGTTGTGGCCACACTTGTAGCGCGTTTGATCTGGTAATTCCATACGCAATCCAGGATACCCACTTCTTGGAGCTCTTTTTGGACGCCGGAGCAGATCCAAACACCCGAAGCATCCACGATGTGCATTCCATGCGGACTGACGGGCGGAGTGACGTGCCGACCCTACACACGGCGGTGGATGGAGGTAACCTCCTTGCTGTGAAGGCCTTGCTGGATCGCGGTGCTGACGCGGATGCCTGGTCACTGGAACAGTTCTTCAATGAACGAGGTTTCAATCGACACACAGAGCCTCGGCATCTGTGCACGTGGCTTCTTCTATTTCGGTTCTGCCCATGCTCATGTATTTGCAAGCGTTTGCTGGCTGCTTTGGCGGGTGTAGGTGTTCTCAGCTCATGTCCGGTCAAACGCGCCTGTTGCTCTGCCCTTCTCGTTATGTCATGCCAGTTGACCAGATAAAAGCATGCTCGTCTGTTTGTGCTAAGTGTTGCTGCTGCCATGAATGGTTTCCGCAGCTCTTCATGTGCCTGGCTGAAGGAAGAAACAGCACTCCATCGCGCCTGCAGCAGCAGCAGCAGCAGCAGCAGCAGCAGCGGCAGTTCTTGTATGGAGATGTGCGCAACCCTGCTGGCTCATGGTGCTAGTGCACCTTAGCTTTCTTATGATGCAAAGCTGTGAAATCTAGTTGTGTACGCTGCCTCAAATTCGGTTGATCAGATTCAGGTCAATGCGGTGCGAAAGAAGCTTGAGCTCGAGAACTCCGGAATGCTATCTCAAACAAGCGATCCGCGGTCTGCAAATTTCGTGTCGTCCGTGATCTGCGTCCCTATAGAGGAGACTGCTCTCCACATTGCACTGTTGGAGAGAAACACGGAGCTGGTGACAATGCTAGTTTGTGCTGGTGCAGACCCCAGCCTGCGAAGAAAGCGTGGGCAGTCCACGACGTCCTGTGAAGATCTTTGCCAGGGCCGTGATGACCTACTACAGGCTTTGGGGGCACAATGGACACCGGAGACCCACAAGCATTTCCCCGCCAATGTTCGGGCCTCTGTGAAGATGGCATTTATGATTGCCCAGCGGCAGAACTGGCCGAAGACCATGCTTTTCAAAGTGTGTGCGATGTTTGCCGGCCCAGCCAAACCGGACCTTGCTGTTCTGGCTTGAGAATTGGATGCAATTAAATGCTGCATGACGTTCCTATGAAATCTTACTTACTTGCACGCTGACCTCTTGCTTCCTTGGCTCAGCGAAAGTTCCTTTCAATATTCCTCGAAATGTTTATAGACCGAATGCCGTGAGATGAACTTTTAATTTGGACGGCGGCTGCGGATCATGTACAGCGCGTCAGCAGTGGAGAGTCATTTGAATAGCTGTTGAGCAACATGACAGCTCTCGCGCGACAGAATGTTCGAGTGAAGAAGGGGTCATCCTTTGCAGATCGTAGCAAACATTTCAGTATTGCAGAGCATCGGCCGGGGGGGGCAGCGGAGTCTATTCATGGCATCATCTAAGGATTGTGAAAGAAACAGGCCGGGATCCCCACAACTCGTTTTCGATGTCTTTCCACCACTTAGCAGGCAAAGCGCGAGAGAAGCGCATTCAACAAGTGCCGTGGCAGCAGCGCATTTGAGTGATTAGGTGTGGGTTACTGTGGAGATCCGTAGATCCTCGTTGAAGTTTACAAGTCATTGCAATGCATGCCGATGCACCAAGGCCTTCACGAAGTATGATTCGACTAAAGATGGCCAGCTCAACATTGAGGAATTGGCGAACGCCCTGAAGGTCGAACAGCGGCGGGCGTGTAGCAAATGTCCGAAGTGCATCGTGCACCGGGAGGTTTTGGGAAGCTTCTCCTCCGACGAAATCCGACATGTTCGCCTGCACCCCAGAGTGATTGTTGAAACATCTTGTTCAAGCTCAAGACAGTCTTGACACTGCCCGTGCCTGCGGCTGCATCAACAAGCACCCACGTTCAACAAGTCAGAGTTGGAGACGAGTGGGCGGCTGGAGATCACATGAGTGGCCACAGCGCGTGTCAGGGAGCGGGAGGGGGTGTTGCCCTGCGGAAGCCTGCCAACAAGGGCAGAACTGGCTTTTGCACGTGCTGTCATCAGATTCGAGTTCATCTGCCTCAAACCTCCCCAATTCGTGCATGAAGAATTCGGACTGTTCCATCTCCGAGCGCCCGCTTCACTTGCAAAAGAGGTCGGTCCGTAGACTTGTGGTGGGCGGGTGCGCGGGTGCACGTGGTTGTGAAAATTAACGAAGAGGAGGAGTTGCAAGGATTGGTGCTGATCAGAATCAACCGAGGTGATGACTTGGACAAAAGCAAGGATGGCAAGGTTTCGTACGAGGAGTTGCTGGGCACGTTGATGCGCAAAACCTTCATCACATCCCCCTGATTCGGACGCGCTTTCCTCGCCGAGGTTTCGCACCTGGATTCATTCAGGCAAAGGCAAAGAAGGGAGGAAGGAGGTCTTAAAAGCTAAGGCCATCCTGGCTCCCAGTGCGCCTCGTCTTCCTCGTCCATCATTCGTGGAGCCACTGACGTTGATCCAAGATAAGGACGGTGACGGTTTAGAAGCGGTCTTCTACAACTTCTGCGGACCAGGGCATGCCATCCACGCTGCAGTAGCCGCTGTCTCAAGAACTGTCTTTTTTGCCCTTCTGCTGAAAGGCAGACCTGAGTGGTACGAACTTCCATCGTCTCTGCAAGGCGGTTGCAGGGTCGGCTGGCGAGCATTGAAGAGGACACTGTCCCTGGTTGGACAGGACTGCCATCTTCTAGATGACAGGCTCGACAATTCGGCTGCAGCAAGCTCAGTAATGCCAACGTTTGAGTTCTCCGTTGGTGCATCAGCATCCCCAGTGCGGTGAGGTAGACTTGGTCTTTTCGGATGCCCGCGTGAAGGCAGCCTGCGTGTCGCTGGCTTCGCAAGATGATCCTCTCCTGTCGCAGCACAGCAAAGAACAGGACCACGCCGCGCGAAGTATCGACTTTCTCCAGTTCGAAATAGCGTCCACAGCCAATGCTTGTGAGATGAGCTGCGAATGCCCTCAGAGCCCTAACTAGCCGACAAAGGCTGGAACTTCTGGCAGAGCGAAAAGGTGTTAGCCGCCAAAGCCTCCGCTCGGCCGTCTGCCTCCAAGTGTGCAAATGTGGTAGTCGGGGTAGGTGGTGCTGTTTTGTTCATTCAGGTTCTCTTGCAGGGGCATCCAGAATCGCACAACAAGCTCCAGACACACGAGGATGAGTGCAGCAGTCGGTCGATTCAGTCCTGCTGCAAGTGTGCAGGAGCCACTTGCAGATGCTCAGAAGAAGAGGCTGGTGTTCAGTGCTGGCGAGCGAAACTGTGCCAGCCCATCACCCTGATGGGAGCCCTTTGGGGCGCCGCAGGCGAAGCAGCTTTTCCGGCCTGGATCCGGCAGGTGTGTCGGCAGGCGCGAGAAGCCGCAAAGCGGCCCCCGGGCCTTTACGTTCCCCTGCCTTTGCTTCCCTGTGCAGTCCTGGAGAAGAAGAAGCCGACGCGCTGCAGCAGCCAGAAGCGTGTTGCATCGCTGCTCAAGCTGCCACCTGGCCGCAAGTCGCCGGGCAAGAGCAGGCCCCCTTGCAGAAATGCGCGAGGCATGAGACTCCTGGGCAAGAGTCCTGGAGGAGGGTCGGAGTCTCGGGTGCCACAAGTGGAGCGTGCAGATATGTGCAGGATGCAGTGTCAGCCCTGAGGATGTGGACAACAGCAAGCTGTGGAAAGTATTTGGTTCCGTGCTCGACAGGGCAGACCCCGACTGAGTTGCGACTTAATGCTGTGGCCGAGGTCTGCACACACCAGCTGGCCGCAACTTGAAGAAGCTTTACGAAGCGCCCTGTGCTTTGCCACAGCCTTGCTCTCGTGACTCTGCCAGCATCACAACCTGGGTTGCATGGGTCGGGATGTTTTTCTTGGTCTATGCTGGATTGCTATCAGGCAAGCGGCACGAGCACAGCTGGTCGAGTCCTTTCCTAATGATGAGCTCCGAACATAGCAGCAGTGTCAGCAGCCGTGTCCTTAGTCTCCCGCATGTCCGTTATCTTGAGGTTTCGCAGTTAAGCCGACCTGACGTGCTTCATGCATGGCAGGTCCGCTTCGGACGAGCCACGGTCGTCAACCGCCAAGGCGGCTAAATAGCATCGCTTCGCTGTTGTTCCTCATGGAACACACTGTCCTTGCACGAGAGAGACTCGACAGTGTCCTCAAGCCTCAGCAGGAGCGTGAGCTTGATCTCGCCCTGTGAAGCCAGGCAAGCATGGTGAGCGATAAATGTGCTCCTGGGCTGGGACTGGCGAGCTTGTGCTTCCGCATGAAGCACGTCCGTAGCTTCAGCATCGCTTACCGAATCTAAGGCTGCCGCGAGCTTGTGCCGGTTTGTAGAAAAGTTTAGGAAGAGCTTTTGCAAGATTTTCAAGCTTTATCAACACAGCCAAGCTGTGCAATGCCCAGAATGCCCCGTCGTGAAGGATACTGGCAGCAGATGACAAAAGTCAACAGGGGCATCCTGAGCTGCAGTTGCAGGTCCCTCTAAGACGGGACTGATTTAAGAACCGAGGCCCTTCGAAGAAGCTCCTCCCCACCAGCCCTCGACGCCTAGTCCATTGCCGGTTGGCCATGAACCAATGGACCTAGCTGGCTTTGCGCCCACATTGCCATGTCCAGAAAGGGAGCTTACCAAGCATGCTGTCCACCTGTGCCCGGACGTTGGGTGCACCCGACAAGCAGAAGTTGTCTCAAACGTCCATCAGGTGCACCTGTTGCGATTCAAGCTCCTCAAGGCAAAGTATGAGTACTGGCTCGGGAAGGTGTGGTTCTGCGAAGACGGTCTGCAAAATTCGTCTTGGATTCGGCCGCCTGGCAGGTTCCAGATGCGAATCAGCTCTCTGTGCGCATTAAGGACGTATGTATTTGTGCCCGATATGCATGTTCCCGTTTTCGTTGAGCGAGCAAGCGTTCTGTGTCACCGTTTGGTGCGATGCAGGAGCATTCTCCCGACATGCCCATGCTTGTGTCGGGCCCGCAGAAATCAAGTCTTGATTCGTGTGGTGCTCTGTAGCTTTTCTTGTTCTGCATGAGTTGCGTGTTTGCTTTTGTGAAACTGCATGCAGTCCATGCAAGTATGAATGACAGCACAATAATGGTACAGTGAAGACATGAAGCACATCGAAGCTGCCACCAGCAAGCAGGAGGCGCAGGTGATTCCTTCCTGTGTTCACAAAGCTATCCGACCAGCTCAGCAGCGGAGACATCTCGTTGTACCTGCGAACTGATATGCAATGCAGCCGGCACGTAACATCCTTGATATGCATTGCTAAAATCCCTTGCTGTTGCTTCGCACAAACTTTACAGATCGGTTGGACCGGTCAGGGCATACTACTGCATGCACATGCTCGAAGTCTTGGCTGGAAAGCGATGCATTTGCAAAGATATAGCTCCAATCTGAGAGCCTAAGACCTCAGATATCTGTTGATGCATCCATGCGCTGTCCAATCCATTCCGTTTCCAGCCTTCGATCGGTTCACAGAATCAGGCCACCAACCATCTTCGAAGATGCGGCATGTAGCCATTTGAGGGCAGATCTCAACTGCAGCTCTTGGCCATGGCAACTGTGAGAGCTCGCTCCTCTTCAAGGTAGTAGCGGAAACAGTCAAAACTTAAAACACAACGTCTTGTTGCATACCACTACCTGCATAGCACACGGAGTGGGTCAAGAGCTATCTCGTCGAGTGCCCAACATTGACATGGGATCCCATGGCTTGCAGATTTGGCCGCAGGGCTGCGCTGCTTGCATCAGGTGCGTGCTGCGGTGTTCTTGCCTGCATCGTCATGTTGAATGTCCGCAATAGGATGCAGAGGGGCAGCATTCAGCAGTCGCATTGTGACAACCACGAACACCAGGACCACAAACGGGACGCTGCCTCGATCACAAATGCCAGCTCTGTGCAGTTTGCGTGGGCTCAAGTCAGTCAGGTATTTGGCTAGCATTGCCGAAGATGGCGAAACAGGCAAGAGATATGCCTGCACTCCCTCCAGATGATGAGCGTCCGCCACTGATGGAGTTTCCCAGCTCAGAGAAGGCACCAGCAGGAAGGTCCTGGAGTGACTGCACTTCGTCACGTTTTTGGTCATCAGCATTGCTGGCTTTAAGTTCTGCTGCTTTGGGGGCAACAGTCATGATGTCCCTGAATGCTAAAGCGGTCCAGCCGACCACCTTGCTTTCGTGCAACAACCGCTATGGCCATAATCAGTCAAGTCCAATCCGATTCTACAGCTCTCGTGCCAGCGAAGCTCTCGGAGAACTAAGCCAGGCGGAGGTCAAAGCCGTGTCCTCGTGGTTCATGAACAAGACCGGAGCTGCCGGCAGCCGCTCCGATCCCTCCATCGAGCAGTGGCTGGCGGGACCCTCGGCGGTGGAGCTTTTGCGGCCCAAGAAGAAGGAGGCCTTAGCCTACCTGGACGGACAGGGCCCCAAGCCCGCGCGCTTCGCTCGCGTCACCCTGGCCACGAAGTCCACCGTTGTGGAGTACAAGGTCGGGCCCTTGGGGCCAGAAGGGCCCCTGCCAAATGCCACCATGGAGGTGCTGGTGCCGGCAGGGAGTATCCCGTACTCTAAGCGGCCGGGCTTCGAAGAGACCAATCTCCTCACTGGGATCTACAACAAAACGGTTGAGGAGGTGGGCAGCTTGCTGATTGAAGCCTTTGGCAAGATCTGGCCACAGTTGGAGGGAGGCTGGGTGCCGGGGAATGGCGTTGCTGCATACTTGCCGCGGAATGATGCCTTAGCTCCTGCCGGAACCCGACGGGTTCGAATCAAGAGTTCAATGGAGCCTCCGTCCCCGTCTCGGCCTGATTCTCAGTGGTTGTATCCTGTCCCCTTCGACTTCGAAGTGAACATGACCGCATGGGACGTGGCTGAGTGGAAGGTCCATCATATTACCTTCTGTGGACAAGGGCCCTTCAATTCGACCGCTGAGCTGAAGGCAGCACACGCGAAGGGCGAGCTGAAGGTTTGCAAACCGAAGCTCGCCGTCGGCGACTGGGACACCCCCCAGCAAGAGTCCCCCAAGTCGAGTACGCCACGCACTGAGAGCCAGGAGTCAGGTGTCGCTTGGGGTCCCTGGTCCTTCTCCGTCACTCAGCGTCCCTCCACCGGTATGGCCATCACCGACATCAAGTTTCGCGGGGAACGCGTGGCTTACGAACTGGCTTTGATGGACTCACAGGTGATCTACGGGGGTTCGGCTCGTGACCAGTTCATGTACTCGGACAGCGCCTACACGATGTCCCAGTGGAGCACCTCCTTGGAGCCAGGAGTTGATTGCCCAGAGGATGCCACTTTCCTTTCTGCAGTGAACTGGATGGGCCCTTCAATGTATAAAAACCCAGATCCGAGCAAGGCCGATACGTTTTGGCCGATCTGCGTCTTCCACTGGGATGAAGATCATGAGATCTGGAGGCACATGGATGGTGGAATGACGCGCGGGTACGTCCGGAAGACGGTTCTCGTTCGATCCATTGCAACTGTTGGGAACTACGACTACATCTTGGACGTGAAGTTCCGGGAAGATGGCGAAATCAACGTCGAAACCCGTTTCGCCGGGTATCCTGAAACGCGCTACACTGGTATCGGCGAGAGAAGATTCTCGACGATCGTCCGCCCTGATGTCGCTGGCATCGTTCACACGCACAGCGTCGCCTGGAAGGTAGATCTGGAGATAGCAGGAAGCAAGAATGCCCTCCATGTTACCGAAGTTCGTGAGCACGAATCCGATGGGCTTGGAGTTAATTGGATGGCTGACCCCAAAGAGAAAGTCTTCCCCACGAAGATTCTGGAGCAGCGCTTTGTGGAGAAGGAGGGTGCTGGGCTTTCGACTTTCGTTGCCGATCCCCGGGTGCCGAAAGCCTGGGCCATTGTCAACAGGAACACCTCCTCCAGCGCATCAGGAAGCGCCCTCAATCCTCGTGGATACCGCATTGAGCTTCTTTCCTTTTCCACAGGCCAGGTGCACTCAGCGACACATCCCTTCGTCGAGTCAATGCCATGGACCAAATATCATCTTGCTGTCACGCAGTACAAGGTGGGGGTAGTTCGGGTGCTTCACGGTGCTTCCATTGCTGCGTACTCGTCGGATCTTGTGTGCATGTGTGAAACCAGTTCTTTCGAAGGACCACGAGTACCGGCCCTCGTCAGCATATGTGTGCCCTAGCAGCATTATCATGGACACGTCCTGCAACCTGCGGAATGACCTAAATCAATTATTTCTGTGAGTTTCCTGAGAGAGACAGTGATATGTTTGATTGTGGACAGAGATTTCGGGGCTGTGAGTTACTTTTGAGCGACAGGTGCGAGTTGTCTGTGAGAGGGTCTGAATAGAGCTTTCATCATGAAGATGTTAGGTGAGGTGGGTCGGATGGGGAAGGGGAGCCCGAGTGGGCTCAACAAGTGCCTGGCAAATCTTGGCAAGAGCTCGGAGCTCAGCAAGTGCCCGCGCGCGTCCATGTGTCCATGACGTCGTGGGAATGTTGGGCGGGTCACTGCGCACGGCGTAGAGCTGTGCAGGCCCTTTGAGACGCACTCACCAGGGACACTCTCCAGGCACTCGGACTTGGGCTCTCCGGGAAGGTCTGCAGCCCCCAGCTCACAGAGGCAGGGGCTGAGGGGGCCCTCACGACGTTTGTGAGCGGGCCGGGTCGGTGAGTGGGTTCACGCCGTACCGCTCACAGAATTCTCACAGGAATCTCACATGTATCACTGACAGACCTCTCCCTGCTCAGAGGTACGGCTCATACCCTCTAACAGACCCCTCCCTTACTCAGAGGTACCGCTCACGAATTTGCTTACCAGAAAGCTTGCACAAGAATGTCAGAAAACACATTCAAGACATCCTAGCAGATGGGCTCTATACGTGTTTGGAAGCTCAACTTATCTCAGGAACTTTGATGGCCAACGGCCATGGAAAGATGAATATGCGCAGGATCTGGATGTTTTCCTTGGCAACAACGCCTCTCGGCTGCGATTCATCAGCCGTGATATTCTGATGCCTGTGAGTGGCCTGCTTCAGTAGGACATGTCCGCCGCCTGCCAAGGAGTCGCTCATGGATGAAGACCTGGTCGCTTGGATCGGGTTGAACAAGGACCGTCCAGTGCAGCTCATGTTTCTGCTGGTATCTGTTGGTTCCATTCAGTTGGCATGCTTGCCTTTACAGGTGCAGCAGTAGCATCCTTCTCTCACTGACTCCAGGAGCACATTGTCCGGCAGGAAGACATTCCACTTGTATCCAACTTTGGTGTAGCCTTTTCCCTGCAGCCGTGGAACTTCTTTGAGCTCAACACGGCTTCGAATCCTCCTCACTCTGCATAGACAGCCTTTTTTGCGGGTTGTCCTTGCCCGTGCATCGTGCCTGGGGCATCTTCCGTGGTACGGCAACAGAGATCCCTTGCGACTTTTCGAGCATATTCTGCACCTCCATGGCTCGTCATTACATGCCGTCTGCTGCAAAAAGGGATCATCTTGGAACCAGTCCGGCCGACCACCTCCAGGCTTGCAGACCCTGACAGATGGCCCCAGTGTATGAAAAAGTTCTTTCGCGTCATCCACACAGATTCCCTTCTTCTGCCCACTGCAGCTGTGACGTTGGGAGGTCGACACCATGCCAGCCTGGTCGATCGCGGCGAGGGGATGCAATTCTCGAGGTTGGGCTGGGCAGTACCCCAAACTAGGTAACTAGGGCATCTCACGGTTGCGAGGCATCTTGTCGACCGCCGCGTATTGCATGTGGTCGGTGGCTTCGGTGGAGCGGGTGCGCCAAGCTGCAGGTTAGCACAGTGGTTCACATGTGGCATGCTAAAAGGCGAACCAGGACAAAGCTCTGCGAGACAGACGTGACGTGTGAGAGTGAATGCTGCTTGCGGTGCACTGCTTGAGGTGCCCTCTCCTACAAGAAGCACACGAAGCACACGATGCCCGGGCCACAGGTTCTGCTATTTTGCCACATCAAGTCTGAAAAACAAAAGAAAACGTGACAGCATTTCATCTCTGCCGCAAAGGATCGGGCCAGGATGGCCTTGTGGTGGCAGCGGTGGCGGCTGAGCTAAATTCCGATACCGGAGATGTCGCAGTGCGCCTGTCTTGCCCAGGAAAGGGCGGGGACGTTCTAGTCAAGGTGCCTCGGCAAAGGGGTCACACTCCTCGGGAGACTTGAAGGCTTGTGCTTGCCCAGGCGAGTGAAGCGCACTTCAGCCTGGCGCACCTCAAGGGACATGTGCAAGCTCCAAGCGGACAACCTGGAAAAAAGGGAAATCTCAACGGTGACACAGGTTGGGCGCCGAACGGACTCCATAGAGTCATAGAGCAGCACTCTGCGATCTTGGTGCCTGTGTAACAGAGTTTGAAATCCGCCAGCTGACCTTCCCCAGGCCGAGACAGCTTCATAACTGTTCCTCGGGGTGTGATGGTGCGGGAGATGGTGCCGCAAGACGGGGAACAAGCTGACCAGGCACCACTTGTGCCTGGTCAGCTGCTGGCTGATCTGGACAAACCTGGAGAAACTGTGGTGGTGGCTCTCGGAGGCCGTGGTGGAATGGGTGACTCGCAGCAGTTGTCCAGACTCTTTCTTCGATCTTTCGCTCTTCTCAGGCTCATGTATTGCGTTTGTGCTCCCAGGCAACAACATGGCCAGGCCCCATGAAGCTACGCTGGGCCTGCCTGGAGAAATTCGCAAGATCGAGCTCGAACTGAAGATGGTGGCAGACGTTGGTCTCGTAGGGATGCCCAATGCTGGCAAATCTACGCTGCTAGGGTCTGTCAGTCGCGCATGTCCGAAGATTGCTCCTTATCCTTTCACCACCGTTGCCCCATATGTTGGCAAAGTGCAGTTCCTGGATGGGTCCTCCATGACCATCGCTGACGTGCCGGGACTGGTGGAAGGCGCCCATGCTGGAGAGGGTTTGGGCCATGAGTTCCTGCGCCACTTAGAGAGAACCAAAGTGTTGCTCTACGTCGTGGACTGTGCCAGATCATCCGATCCCTTCTCAGACTTCCTGAGTCTGCAGCGTGAAGTTGAAGCCTTCTCCAGAAGCATGGCTTTCAAGCCCTGCGCCGTGATCGCTACTAAATGCGACGTGGATCCCGAGCAGACCTTGCCGAAAGTGGACGCTTGGCTCTCAAAGCTTCTTGCACTTTGAATTTTCTTCGAGTTCTCCTTCAAAAGCCCGAAACAGAGGACGTCCTCTTTCGGCTGGTCAGGGAATCCGACGTCTTCGGCCCGGAGCTCAGGGCTGAAGTTGGACTTCAGAGCTTAGATAAGCTTAGAGTTTCTGCCCTTCGAGGCCAGAACTCGCCCATCTTCGTCCGGGCCATTTCGGCGAGATTCGGCGAAGGGGTGAAGGGGCTGCTACAGGAGCAGCGCGACATGCAGCGCGAAATGCAGCGCGCAGCTTGTGGTTCCTCTTCTGTGTGTCCTGAGAGCCCCGAAGGAGCTCAGAGTCATCCTGCAGGGCAACCACGAGCTACTTGGCTTGTGCTTAGTCTCTAGACTGGCAGAGCTGCGGTGCCGGCATCCCCGTGTGTTTCATGGAGGCGCTGGCTGGCGAAAGCAGCAGAAATGCTGCCGACAGACGATATGCTGAGTCCTGCAAGCGGATAGTGCAAAACAGTCCCGCTTGCTGGATTGGACACGTATTGGGACATGCGGTCATCGTTCTGCTCCTGAGCTACCATCTGAGATGAGGTCCTCCTTGGTCGAATCTCTGCAGTTCTTGCACGGATTGCCCCAGTACTTCGGTGCTGAGGAGTGGGCAGTTTTTTGGGTCCGTCTGCATCATGCCGTGTGCTGTGCAGGACTGCAAGTCTGCTTTGCTAGATGGCATGCCAGCCGAAGAGGCTCGGCTTCGCCCTGTATCCTCCGGAAGCCAGCCATCCTCTGCTGAACAGTTCCAGGTTCGACAGGGAGAGGCAGACACGGAAATCGAGTACACTCGCTACACGAACAAGGAGGTGCAGGCGATCCCCCGCAGGATGGTTGTCGAGTCGGGCCCGTTTGGATCAACTGACCGGTCCAGGCAAAGCAGACGAACCTACTAGCAGCTTTGGCCTGGCTGTCGGGAGAGATTGCACTGGAAAAGCTTGGCGAAGCCGAGCCGTTCGAGGTCGATCTCATCAGACCCCTCGCAGAAAAAGCGGAGACTGCCACCGAGGCGGGGTACGCAGAGGGAATGCGATTTGCCACTGTCCCTTGCGCGCCAGGAGCTCGAGGCCCACACAGTGCAGCGGCTGAAGTGGGAGGCAGAAGCCGAGCGCCGGGCCCGCACGGATGAGCCCAAGGTGCTAACGGACGGGGCCGGGCGGAAAGACTTCTCCGCAGTGAGTGGCGGTGTGGGCAGGTGGACGAGAACGGGGAAGAGCTGCCGCCGGCTCGAGACTCGGCCATGGCCTGCGAAAGACTTCGGGCGTCTGAGTCCCATCCGGAAACGGATTAACGAGGAGCCGCGACCAAGCAGACCTGACGAGGAGAAGCTGGAGGCGCTTGACTCCCGCGATCGCTGTGATCCATCGCGGAAGGAGTAAGGTCAGAGGGTGCCCCCTTCCGGGTCCCCGCAAAGAGGGGTCGGCCGTGCAGTCCTTGTGATGTGTACTTGCCGCAGCCAGTCCAAGTACCTGTCGGAATAACACGACCTCGGTTGCTGGTTGTGGATCTCTTTCTTCAGCCGCGTCCCTGTTCAATTTGGGACTTGGTCCTGACCCCTTGCCTGCCGGACTAGAATGACTAGAAAGCCCAGCAGTGCTGTTGACTCGCGAAGCAAGGCTCGCTGTATTGGTTACCGGCAATTTCTTTCGCCCTATGAAGCTTGCAGCCGGGGGCGCCTCTTCAAACTCAGCTTTGGTCGGCCAGGGCTGGGGCTTCTCGAAGGGCTCGAAGATGCACAACTTGGAAGAGGCCAATGGATGAACTAGCAACTCCGGGGTGAGTATTGGTGATTTTAGCGCAGTCGTTACGAAGAGGTCCTTCCTTTGGCTTCGCACGTGTGGCTGTCGGAGCAAAGCCTGCGGCAGGACGGCAGCAGAGCCAACAAACAGCATCAGAGGATCCCTTTCTCTCCGCCTCCACGTGTGCTTTGGGCAGGAGATGCGGGGCAACGATGGGGCCAAGGCACGCGTGCATCCGAAGAACTGGGGAGAGCGCCAGCCCAAGAAGGGACAGAGAGCGGTTGCACCACCGCCAGGGTGCCTTCGAGTTCCTCGAGCGAGCGCTCGCGCTGCGGCTCCGTCCGTGCCTTTGATCTGCTTTTTCGTGGAGCGCGGCTTGAGTTCAGTTCTACCTTGGCAGTTAGGGTAGACGAAGGCAAGACAGCGAGGGAGGGAGGAGGAGGGGGGGAGTAGATTGAACGTTTCACCGTGTTGGTTAGTCTTGGGGTGGGGGCATTTGGGCAGTAGCTGTCGAAGTCATCAGCGGCTGGCTCTGCCGGAGCTGCTTGCACGCAATGTCTCCGACGTCTGGATTCGTAAGTTATCTGGGGGGATTGTCATGGAAAATGGAAAATGCACACAATCATTGGCATGTGAGCTGTCGGACAGACTGGCTGTATGTACATGTCGAATGTCTCCTTGTCGTCAAACCTGGCACCAGGGTTTTATATTACAGCTGGTGCAAGCTGAATGGTCTCGCAGACTGTGTTCTGAGGCCAGCGTTTGAGCTCCAGATTGCTTTTTGCCTCTGAAATCAAGCCTGCTAAGATGTACGATTTGTTGCCTCTGAATTGTGGGCATGTCTGTGACACGATGCCTGCTAAGATGTAGACACTGTTGCCTCTAGATCGTGGGTGGGTCTGTGAACTGCAAGTGCTCCTGCGGAAAAGCCAGCTGAACATTCGTTGTCCATGACCTGCCTCTCAAGTAGAAACGGGAGCCATACAGGGAGAGGGGTTTTCCAGCGCTTGTTCTGCCATGCAAAAATGGATTAAGGTTACCGACACTTCTTGCGACCACCGCTGGTGGATGAACCGGCCTTACAGCAATTCCATGCCGAGTATCTTGTGCTCACACGTTGTCGAGAGGTCGACGTGTTGGTTAGCAGCGAACCAGAGCCGGAAAAGGTCTGGACATGGCTTTGGATGTCTTGGAGATTCTTGGGGCTTCATCCATTTTTTGAGGTGAGGCTTCCGGAGCTGTACGAGCTGTTGTCCGGCGACATCAACCAATTTTCCCCGTTCTCATCTCGGGAGGAATACTTGTGAAAAGGGGTTGCGAGCGTCGAGCGCCCAGGCAGAATCAACCCGGAGCAAGTGCAGACGTAGACGAGTCAGGCTCGACATCCTCAGGAAGGCTGATGTGGCTGATGTGCCAGCTGTCTTTGCAGGGAGTCTGACTCGCAAGCGAGGCTGACATCCAGCAATTTCACTCTTTCCATGATGAGATCCGATCAGCATAAGGCAAGCACATCTACATCATGGGCCAGCGCTTCGACGCATGGGAGAGCTGGACAGCCGAGTGAGCCCAACCAGGCACCAATGACCCCGGAGAAGCCGACGCTACGTGCAGGTATCCCGTGCCAATCCGTCGCTTGTGCGACCTCCGAGTGGCTTTCGTCCCTTGCCAAGTTTCGTCCAGAGCTGGAGCAGTTGCTTAGATCGTGCCCTTACCGAAAACCAACCATTGTGTGCCTGCCAGATGCCGAGTGCTCCGGCAGAAAACAGAGCAGCTCCTGCACATGCGCCGGGAAGTCAGATGAATCGTTCGGTGTTGGCAGAGATGGGATTTTGCTGCTCGTCATTCGGCAGTGCACATGGCGTCACATCAGGATTGGGATACATGAGCCTCGCCGCGCTGAGATCAATGGCAAGGCCACTTCCGTGTCCTGGGATGTGGGTCGGTATTGATCCAGCAGTTCAAAAATCCTGGCAGGTCGTTGAACCCTGGATGGGAACTCCTTACAAATGTGCAGGCATGTCTGGGCAGTTGAAGCAAGCACAGAGATGTCTCCTCCAAACCTGCCTGATTAGCCACGACATGCCTGTGGGGTTCGGCTGCAAGCTGCCAGGTGCTGGAGATTCTTCAGGCGAGCCACAGCAATTCTATAGGCTCTGGGCGGTTGGGAGCGAAGCGGCATCATTGAGGCTTCGAAGTCTTCGAGGACTCTGAAGAGATCCGACAGGTGGCGTGTGTGAGGGTGAGAGACTGGTAGTTAATACCGAGATCCACAACCACGCCGGACGCAGCCGTGCATAGCCGTGCACAAGCCTGTCCTCTTGCGTAGGGGATGCTCAAGCAGCTGACGAAAGACGGTCTGATCACTCACAGGCTCTACATGCCTGATTGCCGTTTGCTGTGCTTCATGTGCGCGGGCGGTCGGGTAGAATGCAATCACTTCTAGAAGCTTGAAGCCCGATCTCATGTCAGGGTGCTGGAAGTCCCCGTGGATGCGCATCAAGGAAATTCAGGATAGCGGATCGAGAGCTTGAAGATATTGCAGGGCACCAGTCTGGCGTTTGCAACTCGCCATTCGCCAGGAAAGCTCTTGACTCCTTACATCTTCTTCTCTGTGTATGACGAGCAAGATGCTTAGACCCTTCACGAGTGCCTTTGGCATGCTCAACTCCCCACTCATGCTCTGGTGTGTTCAGTGATGATGAAGAGCCGAGGCGAAACGTCTGGTCGGCAGATGGCAAAGCTTGCAAGACGGAAGCCCAGCCTGCTCGAAGCAGCGGGCCGTCGGCCGAGGAGTTTTGAGCTGGGATTCAGGAATCTTTGTGCCTCAGGATCGAGGCCACGGCGCCTTCGCTCGATGATGCGACCCTTCTCCCAGAGGCTCGGTGCCATGTCTGCTCATGTCTGGTCGCCTATTGGCCTATCGAGTATTTAGCTTTGCCACAGGCAGCAGCAGAAGCGGAGGAGAAGCCTAAGGCAGAGAGCATCATCTCGGTTTGATAGGATGAGTTGTGAGGACAAGTTCGAACTGGGCAGTCATGCACGAGACAGGCAAATAGCGAGAAGCTGCTTCCCCCATGGAGCCCCCTGATGGATTCGGACGTCCTCTCAGTCACTCCGGCGGTGCGGAGCATGGGGAGATCCCCTACAGCTGTGATTAAGATTTTCTGAGGCCTCTATGGCTACACATCAAGTACTGGATCTGACTGCCATTGCAGTGGTCTTGGAGATGCCAAAGAAAATCCGACGCCCTGTCACGAAATGCATGGGCTTTGACACAGGTGACCAAGCACGTGCATGCATCTCCGCCGAATGCAAGCTTCAATGCATTACTCAGGCAAGAGCTTTGTGTTATTTTTTGCGGCTCATCTCCTTCTGTGATGTGTCAGGGCAGACCTCCGGCAAACTCCTGGGGAGCTCCAAGGCAAGCCGTTCCAGTGCGTGGCCCAGCACGTTTTTTTTTTTGCAGGGGGGCCCCTTCAAAGGCGGCAAAGGGGGGGCCGTTCCTTTCTGTAGGTCCTACGTGATGCTGAGTGCGGCCGTGGAAGCCCCGAGTCCGTCGCTCGTCACCCGTCGCCTGCGGCTTCTTCGAGCCCCGGGCCGAGCCGCTTTTCTTTTAAAGCGTATAGGACGGCTTCCCCCACTCTGTTCTCTCATATGTTTTTTTTTGGGTGTTTCTCTCATATGTTTTTTTGGGGGTTTTTCTTCTCTCATATGTTTTTTGGTGGGTTTGTTCAGAAAAGGTAGGGCCGGTAGGAACATTAAAGAAGGCGTTGAGAGTAACACTGGCAGGCCTCAGAGGATACATCATAGAACTCAGCATGTTGAGGTTTAGACTGTTTAGACGTTTCATGACCTGGACAGGTGCGGTGTGGCAAATTCGGTTGATGCTTGTTCCTTTTTGCCCGCAGCCATTCGTCTGAAATGCTTGCTCCAAAGAGTTGAGCCTGGGGGGTCCGGCCTGGCTCCTCGGCTTCAGAAGGAACATGGAGCTCTATGTCGGACCTCTCACTGAAGGGTTGGCTGCCAAGGTTGCCACATCCCCAGATAGACTCGCGGCACCGAAACCGACTGGGCAGGCAGGAAGCAGCCCTGGTGCTCTCCATCTCTTCCACGACTGCTTTTGAGCAAGCATTGTTTCTCCCGTTTCCATACGTCCGCCGTGGTAGATCTTTGCAAATGCTTCGCAGTCTTGGCGGCGAGGGTGGGCGGGGCGGCTTCGGCAGGGATTTTCGATCCGCTGTGCATGCACCTATTCAATTTTGCAAATTCTGTAGGCCACCGCGTATGTGATGATATGTGAACGTCGCTGATGCTGGTCTTTTCCATGGGTTGCTGTGTTCGGTGTCCCAGCGCTTGCTGCAGCAACTCCGTTGTCCACTGTTTCTTTCAGGATTTTCGCAACAAGCAAACAATTCCGACCAATGCATGCCATGTGCAGTCTAGTCTATCTACGGGTGGCTGCATGAATGCTTGCTCACAAACCTACCAAGCCCTCGCTGTCTCATCGCGGTCGCAAGTGCTTTCGGCGCTTAATTCGGACCTCCTGCTCGATTACTCAAACAGTTTATCACGAATCGCCCGCCGCAGATCTCCTCCGGCAGAAGCTTGCAGTTTTCTCTCGTGTCAGGTCCGCATGAATCATGCATGATAAGTTTAGGTCTAAGTGTGCATACTCGTTTGGGTCAGGAGCGGGTGCAGCTCGTGCGAAGCATGGATGCTGCCTCGCACTTACGATGAAAGCGTGTGTCGGCGACTTCTGAAGAAGTTGCATGTGCCTACAAGCCTCCATCGGGCTTACCACGCCGAGGATGTGCGCTGCCAAGTCGAGGGGATGTTTAGGTCCACCTTGGCAGACCCAAACGGCCTTCTCGTGCGAGAAAGCTCCTTGGACTGACGAAGTTTCCTTGCACGGGCAGACTCAGAGCTCGAATTGAATCCCGTCTGAGGTTGCATCGAATTTCTTCTTTCGATTGGCGGTACCCCCGAAGAGGCGAACGCGCTGCTCAAAGAGTGTGATCGGGGTCGGGATGACACTCATATTAGCCCGGGCCCTGTTACGCGGCGAAGCTGGCAGACGACTTGTATGGCAGTGCGCTTACGGATGTGACCCTAAGGCGTCACGAACTTCTTGGATGTCCTCTGCGGCCCTGCAGATTTAGCTGCGGGCAGGGAAGCGAAGGAGGGACCTGTGGCAGTGAGCCGGGGGAGGCGGTAGACCCGCTTTCTGATCTTTCTGCTTTCCGCGTTTCCATGGCAAGGACTCCGTTGAGCAGCCGCCACAAACTTCAGAGGCACGTCGGTTGAAGAAGTAGACTTACGCACTGTCGCATCGCTCTGGCAAAGTGCCCAGAGATGCCACCTGCTTTGCCTGCGCAGGCGAGCGCGGGGAAACAGAGACATGGATGAATCACCCATTGGCTTGGGGGACGTGGGGGGTGATGCTCATGTCACTCATGTCCTTCGATGGTATGAGCCAAGGACCCTGGAAGCATCGGCCAAGGAGCCTCCACTAGTACAAACACCGAAGGTGCAGAGTGCTCCCGAGAGAATAGAAGAGAAGCCGCAGACCGAGTCTGAGGCCAGGGGGATGCAGGGGGGTTCAAGTTCGACTCAAAAAGGACAAAAGTTTTGGGGGCGTTTTGGGGCTTAAACCCTAAACCCTAAACCCTCTGAAATGGAAGGTAGTCAAGGAAGCAGAGCCCTCCAGCGAAGGGAAAGCTGAGGCCCTGGAGGCCAGGGTCCCACAAAGGGGGATCTCTGCTTTCAGCGGCCTCGGAAGCACCCATTTTTTTCAGGAGCAGCCTGAGCCCGGCCCGGAAGACCCGGCCGAGGAAGCACCAGACAAGGAGAGGTTGTTGAAGAAAGGTCTTCTATCAGGTTCCTTGTTTTTTTTCACCTGGTTTTGCGTTCGAAGCGCCTTTGAAGGAAGACCCCAACCTGACGACCACAGCCACAACGGCCACTGCAGAAGGCATGCAGGACACGGGCGAATCCTTCAATGCGTGAGTCCTCATGCGCTTCCACCAGAAGCAGTTGATGCTCGCAGGAGGACGACTCCACTGCAACCCTGCCGACACCTGCAGAAGAAGTCAAAGTTGAAAGCGATGTTACTCTACTGGTATTGCCACGCTGAGCCGGCCAGGGCCTGTGGAGTTTATGCTGGAACCTTCCTGAGGCTTGCGACAAGGGAGTGGAATTCCACCCCGACCCTTCAGATATGGATTGGTACTATGAATCGTTGTGGGCTCAGCATGCTCAGCCTATGATTCGTTCATACGCGTTTCGGTTGGCTCGTGCTGCACCCAGATGTGCCACGGAACTCAGGTCCTTCATGCAGTCCAACAGACTCGTGAAAGTGAAGGAGGGAAAAAGATGGAAAGAAATGGACCTGCTCCAGGCGGATTCCGGGAAGGATGTCGGAGACCGTTGGCTGTTGCCTGATCCCCCGTTACGAGGCATGGAATTCGCACCCAATTCCACGATGGCCTCCGCGCATGCCACCTTGTGGACCGGTTTCGGCGGACGGCGGGGAAACCCAGAACCGAACAAAGCGGGCACTTTTGAAACGCGAGCTCTTAGGTGACCCGACGAGCATTGGCGACGCTTGGGACGGCGCCTCAAAACCCACAGGAAGAAGCCCAGCAGTGCGGAAGGGTGCAGCGGCAGTGCAGAGAAACCACAGCAAATCTTACGACGAGCGCCTTAGGTCCCCGTTCACGTGCACGTGAACCCTGGCTTGGTTGGACAGTGGGCTCGCCAGTGCACGCGAGAGTACCGGCCCTATCCTGGAGAAGTGATGCGCAAGAGGCCGGATTTCGGCACGGGCAGTTAGGAGGGCCATAGGAAACGTCAGGCTTGGGGATTGAATTGAAGGAGCGAAGATAGAGCAGCGGGGCCCGATTTGCTCCTCAGGGTGCTCAGAGCATGATTGGAGTTTGGGAGGTACAGAATCGAGCATGCCATCGGCGCGGGGCACTTCACGCGTGCATATCTCGCGACCGACGTGGAGACCAACGAAAAGGTGAAGCCAAGGGTCGCGAATGTGCTCTTAGCTGTCCATCGCCAGACCTGCCCGAGAGCATGTTCGCAGTGCAGGTCTGCATTAAGCGCCACAATGGGCTGACTGTCGAACTACTGACGGACACCCGCTGCAGTTTGGTGGTGCACCTTCAAGTTTCCTGCGCTGCCTTTCTAGACTAGACGTGGCCGTGGCCTTGGGCATCTTGAATTGCGTTGGGTGTGTGAGGACTTGCTCACCATCGGTCGGCGCATAGAATCTGTGGACCCTGAGTTCAAGTGCTTTTCCAGGCGTGCTCTGTCGTTGGATTCTTGATTTTGGAGCTTGGTTCCTTCGCCACAGGCTGGTCGAAGCTTTCTTCGACATGGCATGGACCTCTATTGGCTGCTTTCTATCAGGTTCCTCGTGGTTAGCCCCCAATTTCTAAGGTGGGATACACTGTGGAGACGCTCTTCGAGGGGCGAAACTGCACCGTGCCTTGCCACCATGCTACCCCCCTTGGGGCTCCAGTGGCCTGATGCAGCGTCGATGCAAGCTGAGGAGATTTGCCGGACAAATCCTATGCACTTCAAGAATTTGGACAATCTTCGGGTTGTTGCCGTCGGATGCTTGCGCGGCTTGAAGCTTCTGGCAGAAGCCGGCGTCGTGCATTGTGACATGAAGGCGCGTGCTCGTGCAATGCGCAGCAGGAATTTGCTGGGGCCCAGGCTCCTGTCACTTCGGTCGGGAATAGCGGTAGTGAAAGGCCGACAACTTCATGTGGACGAAGACGGATGAAGGGGAGCCAACGGTTCGATTGGTGGATTTTGGTGCGCAGCCCAGTTGTCTGCAGCCCATTGGCCTGAATGGTGTGGACCTGAGGCTGTTCTCGGCTGGACAGCCGCTTGGAGAGTGGGCGGAACTGGAGCTTTGCGGAAGGTGGTGCAGGACCGAAGCTCAGAACTTTAGAGCGCTTGCCTGATCGCTCCGCTCTCAAGCTCTGCGAGGCCACATCGGGAAGTGGGCCCCTGAGATGATGCTGCGAATCCCCATCACGGACAAAGCCGATGTTTGGGGCCACGCGGTCGCCCTGCTCGAGCTCTACTGCGGACGATGCTTGGCAGAAGCACTGTTGCCGACTGTTTGCCCATTTCTCAAGAGGGACTCGCTACTCGCTCTAAAGAATTGCAGCTCCGTCCCCATCCCATTCCAAGCCCTTTATCGTGGAGCACGCCAGTTGCCAGAGTTGGCGGTCCATGGTTCATGCCTCTCGAACCTTCCTTGGAGCCATAGCATCTGCAGTGACATCGGCTAAGGCTCTCCTTTAGGGGGTATTGCCAAGACAGTGCCAGCAGTGTCACTTTCGCACCTGTTGTTCAGAAGGCCCCCTGATGGCGCTGCGAAACTCTCGTGTAATGGGAAAGTATGTCAGAAGTGATGATGCGTCAAGGACGGTGTGCAGTCTCTGTGTAGGGTGTGCACCAGGCGGCTTTCCATGCGAGGGACGGCTCGTGGGAATGCATGTGGACTGACGTAGTGCTAAGGTAGAGTCTGTCATGTCTTGATCGAATGCATGCCAAGGCAACATGTGGAATGAGGAGGAAGATACAGCGGCTCAGAGCAAGATGACAAGCGTTGGGACGGAGAATCAAGATGTTTTTGTATATGTACTATTTCTGGGGATGTTCCATGTTACCGAGGTTTACATGTGCGAAGCATTGTCCGAGTGTTGAGCCATTACTCGTAATTTTTCTTGGTGGCTGCGTGCTTTCATGCGTGGCTGCATGATCCTTTGGTCCGAGCCGTCGCCACCTTTGAACCGGGGCTGTCGGTGTTGTCAGGGAATCCTTGCCGAAAGCTGTGGCTGTCGGATGAATCTCCAGGTGGAGTACATGCTGGCGCAAGCGCTTGGCCTCGTGAACTCCAAGAGTGGACTGCCCGAGAAGCTTCTTCGACGAAGCCCACTTGACATCAGCAGCCCGGCCCAAAACATTCCAAGACTGTTTTGTCAAGTTTGGTGCTGAAGGGTGTAGGCGAACTGCAAGCTTGCCAGGACAGCTGTACACTCCTTCCCCAGCATACTTCCCGGTTCAGCGCCTTGGTGTCGCGCCCAACATTAGCTTCAAGGACTGACTGGCAAGCCTGAGTGAGTTGCGAAGCGAGTCCTATAGACTCGTAGCAGGCTCCTGTGACTGTTGCAGAATATGATAATATGGGCCGCTTCCATGCTTGCAGAGTCTCTGTTGAGCCGTTTGGTGACCGAGAGAGGGAGAGCGGGAAGAGCCGGAAGTCTGCTGACAGGAGCTTCGGCCGGCGACGTGGGGTTTGGCATGCGTTCTGGGCGACGAGTCCGAGTGGGATGAGATGAAGACAGGGTGCTAAAAGAAGCTTTGCACCTGCTCCTGCACGCTTCAAAGGTCCCAACGATGAAGGCTCCTTAAGACCATGTTTGACCTGCAGGACGGAGCTGGCGAACTATGTGTGCAAGTCCATGAACCTGGACACCCGGCTGTTCCCAGGAAAGTGCCATCGCCCTCGTCACTTCGGGGAACAGGGCATGAAGAGATGCGTCGGAGTAGTGTTGAACACGTCTCCAAACCTCTGTCTGTTGTACCGAAGCAATACCGTGCTGCATCGTGCTGCCAGACAACCACGAAACCCTTGTTCCAGTGTGCTCCATGTGGATAACCCCAAGGATCCAGATGACAGGCCATCTGCCGTGGAACTGAAGCCTGGCACAAGCCATCCTCGTCGTTGGTATTTAATTTGCTGCCACACCAAGCGTGCAGGTGAAGATTGGCATCACGCGCAGACTTGCATCAGACTTGCGTCGAAGAGTGGATCTCAGGATGTCCCACAAGTTTGTCGGCATGGAAGCCGAAGCTGCCGCTTCAGATCTTTCTCCTTGAAGGTACCTGATCCGCATAGCTGGTCAAGTTATTCGTGCCGGACAGCAAGCATTTGCCATTGACCAGTGTGATGCATGTAAGGCAAGCCGGAAGGATGCTTTCAACTTCGATTCCTGATGCGAAGCATCTCGGTGTCTTGGCATGTTATGGGTTGGGGGGGCTCCTGCCGCAACCAGAAGTGTGGCATGGATGCCAAAGCAAAGAGTGTCAAATCACCAGTTCGCGATTGTCCGGACACAGTCTCCTTTTGTCAACTCTTGATGATTGGACACTCTTGGCCTGTGCGAAAGCGCTTCCGCGACGCAAGCAGTTCTGTTAAGAGCAGGCAGAGTTTGCACGCCGTTTCACCCCAAGCGATCCAGTGATTAATTGCTGGTCAGACCGCACTGAAGCTCGCTGGCCTGAACTCCCAGCTCAGGCGAAAAAACAGCCCCTAAGCCCCGAGACCCTTACTTTACCACATGGTGGGCCGGCATGCCTCCAGTCTGCGTCCGAGCGAGCGAAGGGTTTGGTGGGCTTCAGGGTGGTGAGTTCCAGCATCCGAGAGACGAAAAGCTGGCACTACAGTACTGGTTGAGAAACCACAAACAGGACACCTTACCGAGGAAAGTGCTTCGCAAAGTCTAGTTTGAAAGAGCAAAGCGTCCAGTGCCTGTAATCCAGGCTGGCTGACCGGACACTGGTACGGCATGGCACTGTAGATCCCGATGTGTAAGCGCATGAAAATGTGCAGCCAGCTGGAGGCATTGGACTTTTCCTGAATCTTTCTATTTCACCGATCCTTCAGAACTGAAGGTGGCCTCGTTCAATCGAACGTATCTTCTCGCGCCTGCTTGTTCTTCGTGTGGTGCAGCGAAGGCTCACCCTAAGGCTTATGGCAAGAGGTTTTGTTGGCTTTTCGCTGCAAGTATGAGCCACTCGGAGTTACAGAGTGTTGACTGTCAAAAAAAGCGAATCTGCCGACCTCTGGCTTTTAATATCTTGCCTGTGGATGACCACACCGCTCCAGAGCGAAGTGATGCGGGCTTTAGACAAAATCCATTGCGGGGGCCAGGCCGTGTGCAGAGCTGGCTTCTTAAAAGTGCTTCTGCAGCTGCAAGGCCCTACATAGCCTGTGGAAGGCCAAGGAGCTCCAGCCACGATTGTCCTTCTGTTTTTGGGATTGGCCCAGTGAGATTCGAACCTGCTCAGACCGGTGGCGATGATTTCTTCAGCTCCGAAGCACCGGTGCGTGCAGAGTTTCTCCAGCCTTCGTTCGGGCAATGCAATACTTTCGACTCTCAGCAGGCTCCCGCAGAAGGAGCTGATCCGGACCAGGCAAGCCGATGACGCATGCGACTGTGAACACTGGAGCTCTGTGCCAGGAAGCCGGAGCCACGTCACCCAAAGGAAGGTGGAAGCGCCCGGAGGCGGCACCCTGGATGACCTGTGCATTGTGCTGTTTCAGCGCACTTTGGAGATCATGGACCGGCTGCTGGAGCTGGCGGACTGCATGGAGCGGACCTTGGGCGAAGCCCAGGGCCAGCTGCCGGGGGGCCCAAGACCAACTTACACGCCCCTTCAGGCATCTTCAGGCCTACAGCAGAACCCAGGTTTCTTCTATCTGCGCCAGATCTACTAGAGGCCTGGCGGCCTGGCGGGGCCCATTCCGCAGCAAGCTGCTCTTGTATCGAAGCGTCTGTGCAGGATTTGTGCGCCTATGTCTTTCTGACGTTTGCATGGCCAAAGATATGCTACATGCAGGAGACATGCTGCTGTTGCACCCAAGAGCAACTGCCATTGTGCTCAGAATTGACCAGGACATTTCGCAACAGCATGAATTGAAGGAGCGTGTGCCGACGGCATGTTGAACCTTCTACTGTAGCAGTGATTTGGACACGGTTCATGTGGATATGAGACTTCAGTCTTCTGTGCAACAGCACTGCATGAATGGCAGGTGCTCCATGAGAGGGAGAAGAATGATATTTCGGAGTGGTCGCATGTCTTGCGAAGGTCAGTATCTTTCGATGCACGACGGTGCATTCGTTAAAGTGTTGGCAGTGGCTGCAATGTGCATCCTTTTGCGCAGGGTGATGCCATTTTTGCTCCGCACCCTGGAAAAGGCGGGCAAGAGCTTCGCAAAGGTTTGCTCTCAGTGTATGTCTCGAGAGGTGCAGACAGTCGACGCACTCACTTTGGGAAGCGCTGGCTATGCCTTAGCGCGACTGTTTCTTCAGGAGCTTCCTAGCCTTGTAGCATATGTAGCATCGCCGCCGAGCGTGCTCCGTGGAGAGGATCCATCGAACCATGCTTTTATCTGCAGGAAGGCGACAGCCGCAATGCTCAAAAGGAGCTCGGTGGGCACCCGAGCTGGCTTTGCCCGAAATGTGCATGTCCACTTCAAGAATGTTTCACTCGGACGAGCTTTCAGTGGGGGCGCCCTGTTTTACCAGAATGGAAAAGGGATACCGATCTTCCGTCAAGGCGAGATCACGAATCAAGCATCCTCGATTGTGCAAGTTGGATACAGTTTTTGCCACAGGTGCTTTGTTTTTTTTGCCGTAGACGCTGTAGACACGAGTAGGCCAGCACAGGGCTGAGGCTAGACCACCAAGCTGGGAAAGAAGTGTGAGGGAAACCCGTTCTCGTACTGTGCTTGCGCCGGGTCGCCGTCTTTCCCTCGAGGCTGTGCGATTCTTCGACTGGAGCGGGAGCTCGCAAAAGTGGCCACGGCAGGGCCGCAAGCGAGGCCGCCATGGCTCGCACAGACTTCTCGATTCGGCGGGTGATGTCCGGTGTCTCAGGCTCGATGCTCAGACAGCTGGGGCACTGTGCCGACCCTGGACACGCCGCTTCCAAGTTGACTCCCCTCATCCGATAGACTGAGTGCTGAGGTCCTTTGATCCACCATCCCTGCGGGCGCCAGGCTTTGCCCTGTTCAGCAAGGCCCTCACGAGCCCGAGCCCAGTGGAGGGACAAGGAGTGCCCCAGAGTTCAGGGGCTGGCCGGAGCATCTGGTGGACGTGCATGGACGTTTTATGTGCGCAGGATCTCAAGATGCCGAAGAGACCTGCCCCCAGCACTTTCGGACAAGAGCTACTTGCTGGGCTCTGCGTCTTAGAACTTTGTCAGGCCAGAGAGGCCAAAGACGCCTGGTAGTCCGGCGAGCAGGGTTCAGGATGCTTGGGTGATTTCCGAATTTGACCGACGATTGCCAAGAGCATGTGACCAGGAGAGCCCACGTGAAACTGCAAGCGATGCAGATGACCCGGCCTCGGGCAGTATGTCGACGATTATCGTTCTGAATCTCTGGACCCCATTGAACCACCGGACAAACCGAGGCTGCCATGATTCTAAAGGGGTTGCCCAAGATGCAGCAGGCCGAATGGGCTGTCCGACGCGTAAGCTAAGTCTCAGCCTGCAGCAGCCCGTGGCAGGATCGACTCTGTTTGTTGGAGCGTCTCTACGATAAATGGATCGAGTGTTCGTCCGCGTCCCACTCTGTGCCGTGGCTGGCCCCGCATGGTCGTGCTTGGGGCTATCCCGAGGCTGGTGGTTCACCTGCGCAACCCAGAGGCACCCGTCCGAAGGAAGTCAGGGCCCTGGCCTGGACTTGTCGTGGGCAGCGGCAGTGTGCCAGTGCCGAGGCTGCGCCCCAACGAGGTGCGTGACGAGCAGCCGATCCAAGTCGCAGGAGAGGGCTCGACGCGGCTCCTGGCCTGCACCTCCCTTCGGATGCTGATGGGAGCTCTGCCCGGCGATAAGGGGGCTTTCCGGTGGGTGTGCCAAGGTTGGCGATGAGTTCTCAAGAGGCCAACGTTCTGGGCCGGCTTGGCAGCGGCCACAGAAGCGAGCTGTGAGTGGGGCTCGCCTCTTTCTGGTAGCTCCGACATGAAGGCGAGAACCCGTATCTCAGATGTCTCTTCTTCGTCTCCGTTGCGACGAGAAGGTGCCAGTGGCTCTTGCCGTGTCCTACGTAGCGCCGCCTCTCCTTGGGGTCCCCTGCCAGGCCCGAAGTGGCAGGTTCTGCCCTGGGCAAGGCACGGAGGGCAGGGAGGGCAGGGAAGGTGGGCTGCAATGGAAACTGCAGCACCCACGCGCTTGCACTCAGACTCAGGCCGTTATCGAAGCAGATTCGGCAGTGGCTCAGGAGACGACAGAAAGCTAGGGCTGCAAGCACAGGCAGATTTGGGGTGAAGGTTAAACTCAGACCATGTCACAGTCAGGAGCGAAACCTTTGGGCACAGCAGGAACAAGAACTCCTGCGGCAGCTGCTTTCTTGGCTTTTTGCGGTAAGTTTTCATCTCCTTTCTGTCAAAGACCTGTTGCCTTCTGCCATGTCTGGTTCGCGAGGCAGCTGGGTGTCCGACGGAGCGAACAATTTTGCAAGGAGCCTCCGTGAGAGTATGCCAGGCTACATGGGGGGGGGGGTGGCTTTGCTTGACGGCTTGGCATGAAAGCCAAAGTCTAACATACAGCCTGAGGGCCTGAGAGCTTCCACAGGAGTTCCGGAGAGCGGGCCGGATGCAACGGAAGCCTCGCTCGCCCGCATCTCTGAGTCTGAAGTCTCTGCATTTCGGGGCGGCGCTTGACGTTGTAGTGAAATCGGCTAAGGCATCTTCCAGTCGTCGTTGCGCGAATGCCAGGCGGTGGTGCCATCTCGTCAGCGTGCCTCTCCCTTCCTTTCAGCCTATGCATCGAAGGATGCATTCAGCTGCGTCTTCCACCTCTTATGGGAGGGCTGCCGCCGCAGTGAGCTGAGGGGGTTAACTCTTGGCATGTCCTGACCGACGGAAAGGGTTCCGTTCGGTGAAGCAACAGAATCGGAATTGACTTGCGGGTAGTGTATTTCTCATTGGCACTCCAAACTTTGCCGTCTACTTCTACTCTGTGAGTATCTGCAGCAGGGAATCTAGGTGTTTGGAAAGAGTCATGTTTCCCTTTTCTTTTTGTATAAACCCGAATGATTGCCAACTACACGCTTTGGATGTTATGTTTTTTTTTTACTTCTGAGTCCGAAGCCCGAGAGGCATATAGAAGCAGTTTTTCTTGGGCAGGGTGTCTTTCGGACTGTACAGGCCGGTGCCGTGCTTTACGGTGTTCTGTCCAACTGTCCAATGCAGCGCGCCTATCTGCCCTTAACCTATTGTACTTCCCCTGTATTGAAGGTACATGTAAAAAAACAGGAGTTCTTCTCCATGACATTTTGATGCGGTATGGGGTCCCATAAAGACTAGGGGGTGCTTTGTGCATGTAGTGTTTGATGGCAGGCTGCTGAGTGAGGATGCAAATTGCATTGGATGTTTTCGGTGTAGTAGGTGCATTTTTTGTGCTTTTTTTTCATTGGGTTCGAAAGCCATGGAGTCTGTTGAAGTCACTGGTGATGATTGCAGGTGACACGTGGTATGAACCTGCGGTAAACATGCGGAGTTTCCACTTCAGCGTGAGGTCTGGGTTTCTTCAGACTTGGCATAGAGCATGAACGTGTCGTCTTGCCTTGAGAAAGTTTGCCAAAACGTTTTCGTGGGCGGAGGAGTCGTTGCTCAAGGTTGCTTGGAGGCAGTCTGGTCCAGGAAGGTCATGGGCCTTTGCCATCAGGGTTGCCATGAGCACAGCGACATGCCCACAAGCAGACACTTGTTGAGGTTAAGTTGCGGGTCACAGGTTGCTTTGCCTCTGCGAGCGGCATCTGTACAGGGACTCTGGTGGCTGTGCCAGGTCGGAAAAGTGCGATGTGTTTCATCGCCCTGCGGATGGATGGCTTGGTGTTGTTGGTCCTGTGTGGTTGGTGGTTTGCGTGTTTCGTCTTCACCGGCATCCCAGCCTGTTTGTGGCGTAATGGTCGGGAGTCCACTCTGAGGTGGTTGGGGGTGCTGTTGCTTTGTGGAATGTTTTGTTTGAGCTTGAGAAGCTTCGGAGTGGGGAGCTTCCGACCGTCGTTCTCGATGCGAGGCCGCTCGTGCCCATCTCGCACGACCTCGACCCGGCACCAGAGGCCCTGCCGATCTGGCGTATAGCAGCAGCAGCAGCAGCAGCAGTTAGTCATCTATGCTTTGTTTGCTCGTATCGAGGAGTACAGGGAAGCCATCCACTCGAAGCGGTTGGGTATGCATTCACCGTCACAGACCTCCATGACCTGCCTGACTCTCGGCCATGCGGTGATGTACTGCCGGAAGTGCCGGGCGAAGAGCTAGGCACCCTCTTTGGAAAGTCCGCCGGTGTGGGAACATCTGTCTCCGAGATGCACAAAGACCTCCATGGCACAGGCATGCCAGTTTGCATGGCAAAGGGCTCATCGTCACTGCCCTTGTCAATTGCAGGCTTTCGACATGCCGGCCTTGAACTGGTGGAGGTTACTGGCCTCAAGCCGAATACAAACTATTGCTTCGCCACAATGTGCCCAAGCTTCTTTCATTCCGCTGCGTTCCCCTAGTGTGCACTCTTTGCAGCTCGGCAGGTACCACGAGGGCTTCGAGGCCATTGCTCGGACCACAGCCATAGCTGCCATAGCTCCGCTGTGCTGGTGCACTGAGGCAAACCGCATTGCGCTGTCCGCTGTGAGTGCAACAAGCCCGTCCAGTGCTTAGCAGCATGGTACTTGACCCCAGGCAACAGCGAGAATTTGCTTCTTCCGTGCAGGCCGATTGGGTCTTACTACCCGCTGCCGATCGCAATGCTCAGAATAAAGATCTGCAAGGCTGAGCGAGCACCGGTGTTGCGGGACATTTCCGGTCTTGGATCGCATCCATTATTCGAGGCCGCCTTGGCTGCCGGCGATATGGGGGTACAAGCCTGGCACCCTCCCTACTGGTAGCTTCCAGAACACTCAAATCTTCGGTATTCTTCGGTTATCAATGATGACACCGAGCAATGTGCAGATGCCACGTCAGGAAGAAGGCTTGGATACCACTCTTCGATTCCTTCTGTGAGCGCTGCGCTCCAGATGAGGCCATCACACGCCGTCTCGCGAAAAAGGATAGGACGTGGCAGCTGCAGCAACTGGAGAGGAGTTGGACTCCTACGGGCTCCGAGCCTTCAAGCCGGAGACTCGTATTGTCGCTGCCTGCGCAGGCGAGAGAATCTTGAGAGAACAGGCTCCGCCTTGATGTGGTCGATCGTTTCCCGCCGGCAATCTTAGCGGCCTTTGTGGAAGTGGTGTGACGCCGAGTGGTGAAAGACGCGACTGGCTGTAGTTGTTGTATTTTTTCAATCTACCAGCTTTGGGAGGTGCTTATGCGACATCGGCTCAATGCGCAGGCTTGTTTCTCGGTGACTCAGCGGGTGCGAGCATGATCACTATGAGATGCGAGACCCGAGGCCACGGTGGCAGGTAAAAGTGCTGCTGCTTTCCCGCCGCCTGTCCGAACCCGGAATGCCGATACACTCTGCACCAAGATACATGAAAACCGTGGAGCAGAACGACATGATATGTTGCCGCACGCTCACAAGGTGCACGAAGCCAGCTCAAAGGGCTGGAGCCCTAAAGCCCTAAAGTGCAACTTCTGGCAACAGACGGCACGCACTGAGTTCAATGGCACTGAGGCAGTCTTGCAAGCTGTCAACGAGTGTATGCTCGCAGTCGACTGTGCGTCCACAGCCAAGAGTTGGAACACAGGCCGAGCAGGCACTAGCCAGCTCATGCTCCCGAGGCGACGCGCCGGGTCCCGCTTTCTCACCTGTCAAGCGGTGTCGCTGACGTTGGAGCTGCTGGTCGGAATCTCGGAGCCCCGCTGTTCTCCGACTCGGATGCAGTTTCTCCATGTTTGAACAAGGCCGGCCTGCTCTGCTACCGGACAAGGAGCCACATGCCACACATGCCACACTCGTGGCTTTTCTTTCGGCCTTGCAAAGAGAAGTCTACAGACGTGGCTGCAAGGCCCCAGATTGTCTTCTCAACGCTTGCCAAGTGCGTCACCTGCCTGGAAGCATTCCCTGAGCCCGAGAGGCCAGAATCCTTGCGGACGTCTTTGTATCGCGCCTCGCATAGCATCCAGGGGTGTCTCGCGCCAGGCAACTTCCGTGGTACTCCAAGGCGGGGATGCCTCTGAACATGCAAATACTGCACTGTTGCACGGCGTAAGCTTTGTTTCCTGTGCGTGTGCGGATTCCGTATGGTGTAGCACACCTGTGTGCGCAGTAGCAATTCGCGAACGGCGTCAGAGCTAGGAGTGCGGCGATTGTTATATATTGATCGTGAATGCAAGGCCCGAAGGATGGTGATGTACCTCCTCCACCAGGCTGTGACGCGATGCTGCCGGCCCGGCAACCTTACACCTTTAGTTTTCCGTTGCTTCAGGTGACGGTCATGTCTGTGCAGCTGCGGCAGGCGAGTTCTCGCCATCATGCGATTCCTGAGATGCCTTCGCAGTGCTGAACCGGGCAGGTTAGTTTCTTGACCAAGCAGCTGGAGCAGGATTTGCGACATGCCCGGTTTAATTAACATGGTGGCTGTAGGGCATGGTGAGGAGGATGATTCACGATGTCAGATGTTGGCTGAGCGGTTCTAAGGCCAGAGCGCTATGCAGCGAATCCGCTGGCAGAATCCACAGAAGTCGCACAAGTCCAGAAACTCTTGCTGGATCAGGCGGAAATTTGCGGGTGTCACTGCTTCGGTGGACGTTACATTCAAAATTGTCCTCCGCCTCCGGGCAGGCTATCGAGCTGGCACTACTTGGTGGCCAACAGTGGCAGTATGCGGAAAAGAAAGCTACAGTGGCTCTCAAGGCAACGTGTTCGTCTCACTGCCATGCTGTCTGCAACGGACTTCACAGTTGTGAGGACTCCCCAGACAAGGAAGTGCTGCTCAAGTTGCTGAAGGTGCCAAAGAAGCCTAAGTGAGGAGGTTCCGTGCCAGCCTGCACCTCGTCCAGGACCTTTCCGAGAAGAGCTACGTGTCCCTGGCAAAAGAAGCAGCTGCTCTTGCTCTGCGAGAGGAGCCGGAGAGGTGCCTGGGACAGCCTTTCCAAAGCATCCTACAAGTATCTTGCCTTCTACTCCTGCGCCGCCTGCGCCAGGCCTTTGTTTGCTTTGTCGCTGCTGCGGTCCGTGGCCTCGCGAGGGGACCCGTGCCTTGGCGCTTGCTTGACCAGTGTCAGTGCCAGTGCGTGTAATTGTGAGTGCGCGGTCACGGCAGGCAGGAGCTGTCAGAAAGCCTTTCAACCGTCCTGTCGAAGCACCGCTGCTGCCAGGCAAGGGGTCTGCAACATCCCACAACATCCCACAACGCAATCGTGAACACCGCTCGCCATGGCATGTTTGGTCCGAAACTTCAAACATGTCCATCTCGAAAGTACGGAAAATGATGTCGGCGGAGCCGTCATGAGGTCATATTAGGTCAGCAGGTGGGGAGTGGCGGCGTTCCTGCCGGCAGGGCGTGGGGAGCGGCATATTTTTTTTGAGGTTTAGAAGTTGACATAAGCCGTAGGCGTAAGCAAAATTTCCACACCAATCCGTTTTTGACTCGGGATGCGAAGGAGGGACCTCGAAGCCCAATAGCCCAAACATGCTCGGTGTTGGGCTTGCCTGCTCACAAGCGGTAGCTCGATTTCCTGAGAAAGTCGGGCCTTCAAAATGCAGAAAACCAGTGTGTATTGACCCGTGAGAAGTCTGCATGTTCCGCGGCGCAAAACCCCATCAGCTGTAACACGAAGGTATCGGCACACATCATCACGACATTTGCACAGCAGCGTGGTCTGCAATCCGGTACTTGTGCCGCGAGGCATTGGACGACCGGCTGAGCAAACGTCAGGAGGAGCCTTTGCCCGCAAGAAGCTTGTTTGGGTAATGTCGAAGCTAACACGGAACTGGGATCAGATCAAGATTGCCAGCTGCCAGCATCTGCCAGCATTTGGACCACAAGGTCTTGAGCCCTCCTTGTGTGAGGGTACGCGCACTTGTATTGACTTCGCACCAAATGTGCCCCAACCGCACTTGCGGCCGGCATGTCCGAGCTCGAACAGGCCGTAGATCCAAAGCCGTTCGTTCTAATAAATCTATCCCCTTCTGAACCAATCAAGGGAAACACGGGTAAGGTGGTAGATTTCTTTGTTCTTGCGCGCCGTTTCACTGAGTCGTCGGCATCGCCCAGGTGCTGGAAATAGCTAGGCATTTGGGACAGTGGGCCAGGCTCAGGCGTAACACTTGCGATGCCTACAGGAGATGGAATCAATGCAATCGCACCTAGTACCAGTAGTGGATGTAGTGGACAACAAGCTCAGGAATACAAGAAGTATGGGTTCTTGCTGCGAGCACGAAGCTTGGCATCCTTCCGTTCTTGTCACAGACCCAGCCTTTGAAACATTGGGTGCGTTTTTTGTTGCTGGCTGAGGCGTTGCCGCCTTCACGGTTAAGCTTTCCCGAAGAAGCGGAGGACTCGAACGAAGAAACGGCAGCCGGGCATGGCATTCCCACGAGACTTCGATCATTTTGCAGGAGGACGAAGCGCCTGCCGCTGCTCCAGTTGACGATGAGGACGTCTGCATTTGCCGTGGCTCAATGGATGATACAATAATAATAATAATACTAATAATATATATATATATATACATATATATATATATAACTATAATTACTATATATAACAATATTCTTCAATATTTATTCTCAAATAAGTTTCCTCGCATTGTTCCCCTAGGCTGCGCTTCTTGCGCAGGCCACGCTGAAACCCGCCGAGGATGAGCCTCCGGAGGCTTGGGCTTGGGTTTCTTGGACCCTTTGGCAAAGGCTTTGTGTGAGCTGCATCCAGGTGCCCCAGCTCCAACTGGAAGAGATACTGGACAGTGAGTTCTTGTCGCAGCTTCTGCCTCAGAGCATCTCAAAGCCAAGCACGGCTGATGTTCCATTCGAGCTTCCATCAGGCTGGAACTGAGCCGTGCCGCGGCTCTCATGCAAGAACTCTGTGGCATCCAGCGGAAGCGCCTGAAGCCCAGGAATTTCACGCCAGCTGCAAAGGAACTTCCGCATGCGAAAGTCACGGAGCCGACTCAGAGTCGCTTAGCTTCCATGTGCAACCGAAGACTCAGCTTGAGAAGTGAGAACGGCAAAGGTTTTTCCCCGCCAAGCCACTGCTTGTGTGGGGGGTCATATCAGCTCCGGGACGCCGGGGAAACTAGGGAAACTACCCGGGCAGGGCTTTTGCAGCTGGCAAGTGATGTAAAGCTTGCAACCCACAGGCGGAGTGCCCACAATTCGGCTTTTAATCGCAAATTTTAAGCCTAGCTCTTGGATCAAACCTTCACTCCAATTCAAAATGTGCCGCGTGGCGCGGCGCCGTGACGAGCATTCTCAGGTCATGATATCTCGAGGTTCAGGTTCTTCGATCTCAAGCAGGTGCCGGCGGCGCCGGGAGCTGTGCCCACAGGTGCCCTGGTGCGCTCCAGCTGACAGGTGGCCGTGCCTCTGCTGTCTCCAGATGGCGCCACGTTAGGCGGACACCTTCAGTCGATCGCGCCTGCTTGTCTGCAGTGAGAGACGCCGTCCGAAGTTGATCTGCAGGCGTCTACGAGGAAATCGAGGCAGTGCTCCGCAGTTTTCGAGGAGGTGCCACGTGCTTGAGATGCAGCACGCAGGAGCCTCCACCGGTGGATGAGGCGGAGACGGCGTGTGTCCCAGTGGAGCAGGGAGCAGTTGAAGATTTCTGAATCAGGTTTCTGGGGAGGTCGATCCGCTATTAAGTTAAGGAGTTTTGGGGCTCTCAACAGCAAAGGGACCCTTTGTCTTTAGTTGAGGAATAGAGGAGTTCATTGGGTTGCGAGTTGGCCAAGGGAGCAGAAGAAACAGAGCTGACCGACTGGCAGAAAGAGGAGGCTGCTGAAAAGGAGGCGCGCGGTTTGACGTGATGTCGACCTTTTCTGCCTCCGTGTCTCTGCAGGCGCAAACTCGGTCCTTCTCTGTTCTTCAGGAGCTCCTGAGATCCCTGGCTGGCGCCTCAGACGGGGTAGTGGCACTGCCAGCATAGCAGCATAGCTTCTTTACAGTGTGGCTTTGATATCCCAGGCACGTGCAGCTGGCTATGCCGCTGCACGGAACGCGGATCAGCTGCTTCTGGCTTCCTTGGCGACGGCTCTCAATGCATCTCGGCAACGTCGGCAGAACTTCAGGTGCACGGCTGAATCTGGTCTGATGTCTCTTAGTCCTAGCTGCAGGCACTCCTTCTTGTCGCGCCAGCTCCTGAAGCTTGTGTCCCAATGGGCCCAAAGTCGAACCCGATGGACATCGATCCTGACCAGCACGTAGGCCAGGCCCTGCCTCGGCCGGCCCCAAAGCTCTGCAGAGCCTTGCCGTTACGATGCCAGGAGCCGGGGAAGCTGCACCGGAGGATGCCAAGGACAGTGCTTTAGACTTTAGATGATGCCAGATGTTCTGCACCAAAAAAGCATTCAGCTCTGTCTTGTCGCGAGGAGGCAGAGCAAGCCGAGGCCTCACAGAAAAACTCGCCTCTCCTGCGGTCCCGTTGTAGAGCGGCAGGAGCCGGCGACAGATGTGTGGTTGAGCCTTGCAGCGTCGGTCTCAGAGCTTGGAAGCTACCTACCTGGCAGAGAGTGCTTCTTGAAGCCAGCGAAAGGTCATGGCGGAGCTTGCGGTGAATGCCATGCTGCGACTGAAGGGCAAGTGGGCAAGACGCTCAGCGCTTCGCAGAGATGCCGAACAGAAAGGCGTCAAGATTGGGCGTTGAGGCTGCAGCAGATCCGATGAAAGCGGGCCAGGATAGCCTGGTCAGACTCCAAGCGCTTCACGTGAGCTCTGCACAGATTTGCACTGCGCATGAAGTGAAATGCGGACTCGACAGAGCTTCGGGAACTGAGGCAATCCAGAAAAAGCTTGATGAGTTGGTTGAGGTTGGCTGTCGATATGCCAATGCAACATCCATGCATCACTGGAGTTCACTTGTTGGCGACTTTGGCACATTTCCTGTTCGAGGAGGAGCGGGCTGCCATGGTGGCCAAGATTGCTGTGAAAGAGCTGCAGGTGCTTGAGATGAGTGGCTTTGCAGTACTCTGAAGCTGTCGTTGGTGGGCTGCTCCTCTGCATGCAGGATGTGGACGAAGAGCTACACGATGTGTGGTTTGAGAAAGTGCCAGAGTTGGACATTGCAAGCGTAGTGCCGGCCCCAGTGAACGATGGATGTTCTGGTGCTCGGCAGCCCCGCTGCCCGAAAAACGGATATCTGGTGTGTGATGCGGAGTTCCGTGCCAGCACCGGAAGCCGGCTCCGCAAACTAAGACTGTTTATTGCAAAGCCCTTGTCAGGGGTATCGGAAGCATGCAAGCACCAAGGCGAAAAGGAGAACCGGTAATTGCATTAGAGGGACAGCTGGTTGGCTGTCTGGCGAGCAGTTTGCCTTCTCTGTGTCTGGGCGCAACGCCATCCGTCGTCCCTGTGCTTGTTTTCTCTGTCTTCTGGCTTGTGAAGCTCCGTGTTTCGATTGATCTGTCTTTACCGGACTCTCTGACGGAGCTGACATCAAGGCCAAGCTGGTGGCATTTTCCGTGCTCTGCCTTTATCATATGAGGCGCTCTAACCGCTCTGAGTTCATGAAGTTGCGCAAAACTCGCGCACACCTGTTCTTGCTTTCAAAGCCTGCAGAGGCGGTGGAGCAACATCATCGTTCTCTGCTGCCTCCTAAGCATTCCGTCTCGGTCTTGCTTTTGCTGCCTTGTCTCTGGATGCTGGCGGTACTGTAGTGGAGTGAGGTCGCGGCTTCAATGATGCCACCTGCTCGGTGTACGCGACAACATTCCTGCCGCTCATGATTGGAGTGCAAGCCTGAGCAGTCTGCTGTCCCATGGAAACATGAAGTCGAGAATGATTTGGAGCTTTGGGCTGAAGATGTGAATTCTAAGGCAGATGGGCAGCAAGAGTCCTTATCAAACAAGTCATCTCCTGGTCGAGCTTGCAGCATTTTGCAACCCAGCAACCAAAGACAAAGTCGGTATCATGTCATACTTGCTGTGTTTTGCTCATTGCGGTAGCTGCCTAAGATGTAGGCCCTACAACAGCTTGTGAAGAAGCTTGTAACAATCAGCTTTCCGATGCCTGTGGCCTGAATAGGATGCAGATAGCCAAAGTTTTGACAGTTCGCCATTTCAGCACGATGTATCGAAGCATGTCACGGTGACAGTCAGTAGCACATGTGCAGTGACAAGTTCCGCGTCTTGCGCTTGAAGCAAATGGTTGATACGCGTGTTTGTAACACTCAAAGACACAGCAACCAACTGGAATCCTGGTAGGGTTTTCGCATCAAGATAGAGTTAAGTTTTCTTTGCACATGTGTATATACATACACACATACACATACATACATACATACATACATACCTACATACACACCTGCATGCATGCGTACCTACATACATACATACATACATACATACATACATACACACTACTTACTTACTTTCTTACTTACTTACTTACCTACCTACCTACCTACCTACCTACCTACCTACCTACCTACCTACGTACTTACTTACTTACTTACTTTCTTACTTTCTTACTTTCTTACTTCTTACTTTCTTACTTACTTACTTAC